ATAAACAAATTTTCAGTCCTGGTGTCAGCAGAAAGTTGAAAAAGGATAACCAGAAGTAACAACACATATTGTTTTAACCTTGATCAAATAAACCAATTTTATATTCCTTTTTTTTAATTCCAATATTTATTTCATTCAAATATTGTTGTTTGATTTGCCTTCATTTCTTCTTTATTTCATTGCACAGAGTTCTTCAAAGCTTTCGCAAGACTCTTTTCTAAATCTAGTTGCAAAAAATATCCAGATTGCTCTTTTCGTTTATGATTTGTATTTACTTTCTAAATTTTAAAATATCAGCCAGTTTTTTTTAATCAAGTGAAACATCCTTTCCGAACCATTGTCTTGACCTATCACTTTCAAATCCACTTTCAATCCATCTCTGTCTTGTTAGATAAAGTTTGTTCTGTATATGATATTTTTTCAATTACATCTTTTGGACATGGTCTAACCATAGAAGCAGATATCATTACTGACCTTGTTATTATTTTTCTGATTCCATTCTTCTAAAGTCATAACTATCTTGTAGACCTGTATATGTTTCCTCTACCTAAAATTTAGTCCGCCCCAGTGTCCAGTTTTTGAAATCATAAAAATCCATATCTATGTTATGTCTTGTGAAAACCAAAACAAAATCTATTTCCCAAGAAAAGTTTATAATTAATTCTAAAACTTTACTTAAAAGATTCAATATTCCAATTTTATTTGGGCCCTTAATCGGTTTATAACTTTTTAAGATCAAAATCATATTTACTTTTTGCTGTTTATTTCATATTTATAAGCTTATAATTAAGGTATTCTTTCATCTAGAATTAAAAGAAGACTCACCTAATGTTTTCAAACTCATCGTTTTGAAGATTTCTAATAGCTTAGAAGTAATTAATGAGCAATTTCCAAGAGGGATTATAAAGTGCAGTTTGCAAACTTAGTGTTCTTTAAATGTTTTCACTGTGATTATGAGCAAGATGGCTAATCCCATTGTCTCCTAGAGCTTAAACCTGCAGAAAACCAATGTCTTACAGACTTCTGAGGAACAGCTATCCAGAGCATATGTGGGCAATCTTCCATCCTTATTTGGAGACGTTCCTATGACCCATCTATTCACTAGTTCCTCTTTTTTGCTGTGGTCATTGGCTGTCCTTTTCCAGAGCTATCTTCAATTCCTCATACCTCTCCTAGAAGTCCCCACAAAAGTTTATACACTTTAGTAATATTTGTTAGTTTAAAAAGGTGCTACCAGACTCTTTCTGATTTTTATGTCCCTTGTTTCCATATTGCAATTGCAACAAAAATGTATAAATAAATTCAAATAATCTGGACAATCCTGAATCAATATCAGATTCAGCATTTGAATGACAGCATGTTCAAATTATGAGTTCCATGAAATCGAGTACTTCCAACCAAAATCTGCAAATGAATGTGCAACCATGCAGTTTTTCCAGGCTCTTATAGATCTTTCAGATGTCACCAAGCCAATTCAAGGTATTTTTTTCCACTGGAGTTGCTGCTGCCTTAGATTGATACCAGAAGCGCATGGAAGAGCTTCGTTTTCTGTGAATCTCTGGAAAGTAATAACTGTACATTTCGGAAAGAAACCCCCCCCCCCAAACCAATTAACTAGCTCTTCTATGTTCATAAAGGAGCAAATTAATTCCAGAGATCCAATATTACTGATTTCATTTGTTTTGGAGTGGCTGGAAATACTTATATACTTATCTCTATGAAGGGGGGAGGTGAGTTTCCATGGATTTGTTTTTTAATGAAGCCATAAATCACTCCAGATTGTACAGCGATAGTGCTTCCTGTGCTTTTGTGTTTCCAGTACAAAAAGTAAAACAGCCTAGTTTTCAAAAATCCCTCTTTCAAGTTTTTTAGTATTGAATAATCTACATCTAGCATCCAGCTGTTAACATCTTGAGAATCTGGAGTTGCAACTGCTGTCTCTTGAGCATGACAATGCAGGAAGTGTTGCACTTATACATGAACCACAGACCTAACAGCTTATTTGCCTTTCCTTAACGCCCCTTCCCCCACCATCCTGTTTTGTTCACTTTTGAGCTCTCACTTCAATCAGCCTTGCCTGGTTTAGGCCTAGGAGGAGGCACAGATGGTTTCTGTTGGCTAATATTTCATGCTGACCTTTGATCAGTGACCCCATGAACCCATTGCTATAGCTTTGTAAAAGGTGACTTTCTTTGGCTCCGGTTGCTAGTGATAATGACTCTAACATTAACTGGCAGATGTTCTTCATTCATATGAGAATGCTGGGTAGATCTACTGCTACAGCATTTGATTTTTAGAAACCAAGAATTGGGGATACAAAGATAAAATTACTAATGTTACCAGTAGAAACTGTTGTGGATTAAGATATCTGATTTGTTTCTTTATTAGGATTGTTGGATTGCCAAGTGTGTGTGTCTTGTGTCCCTGTCCCTTTAACAGCTTCTTTGTGGGAATAACATAGTAAGGAAACTCCCCCCTCCCATGCAGAAGATAAGAAGCTTGTAAAATCCTACCAATAAATTTTTGTATGTCTTTAAAATTGTTAAATTATAAATATGCTAATAAAGAAGAGAAGCTTCATTTTTGTGAATCCTCATAGAATGTATGAAGGCAATATTCTTTTGTGTAGTTTGAAAGAGGGAAAAGTGTATTCTCCAAGTCCTAATTGAGCAATGCTTTTGCAAACAATAATATTTGGGGACAATATTTTACATGTAACACATGAAAAGGATCAGGGGCCACCATCTTGACTTTTTTTGATACCCATCTATCCTTTGGAAACGCCTCTGTTATTCTCCATATCCTCCATACATTGTGGAAATGTTTGGGTGGAGATATATTCCAACTCTTTTAATTTTTCCTTTGATGAAACAAAAGATCTTCTCTACCTGCTGAGCTCTTTGAACTGCTTACTATAATATGTAAGATGCAATAAAATAATAGAGCTTGTATATTACATCACACACCAGTTGAAACAGACTGCTTTTCTGTGAAATCAGTTTCCACATTTATTTGCACAGCTGCAGGTAGGAACCCCTCTGCAAACCTATACTGTTATGCAAGAGATAAGACTGCTGTGAAATAAACATATGTCACCTGAGTGCCTCCTAGACAACATTAACATAATGCCAGTAATTCTTAAAGGTAATTGACGTCTTATATTTAGGGTTGCTACCTTGATAATGAAATTCAACACTTTAGATTCTATCAGCGTGCAAGAGCATACAGATTAAGTTTTTTCAGGCAAAATAGGAGGGCACCATAGGTCATTTTCCCAAAACTCTCTTACTCTATGCTATTATTTTCATGAGGCCTAGGTGAGCAGCTGCTTTGCTGTCATGGCTGTTCATCATCACACTTGTCATGGAAACCTTTGGAGAATTACCTCATCTGATTCTCGAGTCCCTCTGTCCTATTTTCTGGAAAAGGTCTTCTGGGAATCCATCCCTTTTCCAAGTGCTACTAACCACTGATAGAAGCTGAAGAATAGACGCATCTTGATATGCGATTGCAGTTGGTTATATATGCACAATTTGTAGTCCCCCACTTACCGTTAATGCTTTTGCCATATATTTTATATACTATTAACAAGATTTCGTGGTGTGAAATTGCCCTTAAAAACAACAATATGTTATCTGATGAAATATAAAAAGCTCTGCAGAATCATGACAATCTTCTCATGCTATTATGAAAACATTATACGGTCTTCCAGGCAATATGGACTTTCGTGCTACACTGATAGTAGCTACATGGTGAAAGAGAATTTAAAAGACAAGACAGCGATGCCACTTTTACCTGAATTGTTTGAGTAATTCATACATATTTGTTTGCTTTGCGGAGTTTGTACAGTGCCTATTGCTTCATGGTTTGAAATTTACGGGGGTTTTGCTTATTTGTTTTTATGATGTGAATTTTGAAATAGTAAAAAGTGGTGAGAATGATATGAAAAGCCACCTTGCAGAGGGAAAATGTTTTACTAATGTTATTTGTAAATAAATTTCTTCCAGTACAAAATGTGTAAAAAATATCGGTAGGCCTTGTTTAGCGGCCAGAATTTCAACCAGCAGCTCTGTTAAGTGAAAAAGGCATAGGTGGGAAATCATGTGACTGTAACTGTGCTTTCCCTTTCTTCACCTCCCCACCCTTTGAAATGCTCACCCTTGCCTGTGGTTTCAAATGGACAAAACTAATCAAATTCACACCTTTCACTTTTGTTTGTAGGGCACCAGCCACCATGAGCACACTATGCAAACAGCTAGCTGTATTTCGTCTTGTATGTTTTGTATGTTTCTCTTGTAATCCCTTCCTCTCTAATCTTTCTCCTCTGTATGACGGAGAGAGGAAAAAACCAAGACAGTCACAGGACAGAAATCACTTGGTATATATCTTTGGATTGACATATACTTATTAGTAGCTTAGTTTATATCCTCTCTTTGGTGACCACCTTCTGTTCTAATGGCATAGCCATAAGAAAAATGGTTGCTAAGTGAACACATGATTGAGAGGGAAAAAAATGCTGAGAAGATCAATGGTTGTTGCCATGTTGTGCAGATAAAGTTCTCTCCCACAGTGTCCTGGGCCTGACTCTCCCCCCACTTTTTGCCCCTGTTGCAAGATGGAGAAATTGCTTAAACAAGCTATCTCTTCCTGAGTTGCTTCTCTCTGCAGCATAGCACTTCCCTAAAGTGCTAAGGGCAAATTAATAAGATCAGCTCTATGACCTTAATTAGTTGATTAGACTGATTAAAATCTAGTCAGTTTCAAGAAGCAGAGAAAGGGAGTCCACCCTTTCTCTGTTTCTTGAAACTGACCAGATTTTAATCAGTTTCACACTGAAGGCTTCTGTTGTCTTCAATGTCACCCATTTTGTCTAAGGTGGCACTAGAACTCATAGTCCCCATCAGAAACAGTTATGTTTTGCTCTTGTCTAATTTTCTTCAATAGTCATTCTAAAGTTCTATATTTCTATTTCAGTTCTATAACATGAGCACTTATTATAGTTTTAGTGGTGAGTCTAAAAGCTGGGAATCATGACAACTCACGTAACGCTGGAGGATGCTCTGTCCAACGTGGACCTATTGGAGGAGCTGCCATTACCAGATCAGCAGCCATGCATCGAGCCACCTCCATCATCCATTATGTACCAGGTAACAAATATTACCTCACAATCATACTTTAAAGTAACTCATCAACTCATGATTTGAAGAGAAGAAAAAAGTTTGTCAATGGGGAAAATATTAGACAGTTCCAAGAGGCAGATAGAATAATGTGGAATAGGACAAGAGGACAAGAAGACTTAAAGAAGCAGGAAAAGAACGTGAATCATGGGATAGTTCGGCTATAAAGCTATATCCTCATTTAGTGGCATGGAAACAAGTTAATGCCTCCTTGTACTCATATTTTTCCTCCTTCAGCAGTTTGGAAATGTTTGATTCTTCTTTTAATTTACTACGAAGTTGTCTTGTTTGAATCTGGTGGAGAAATATTAGTGGAAATTATATGAACTGGCTTCTTTTGACAAATCAGTTAAAATTAGTTGTTGCACAGACTTTTAAGAGGTACATGCTTGGCTAAACGTATGCTTCTTATATCAAAATACGTTTTTGCTCTTATAATAAACACAATCCATAGTTTATTGTGGAACAGTTCTATTGTTTCTTCTTCAAGTTCAACAAATCTGTATATTGATATAATCCATAGCAATCCTTCTTAAAATGTGATCCTAGGATCCCATCAAACAATTGTGAGAAACTGTAGTATCAATGTCATTTCTACCAATGAATGCAAAATTTTAATAAGGTAAGTACCAATAAATATAATCATAAAACAAAATGTTTTTTAAAACTTTTCCCTCTGGTTTCTGCACATGGATATCTGCATAGAGGGATTAAAAAGGTGATTTTGTAGTTATGTATATAACCTAGTGATCAAATGATATATGAAGTTATTATTATATAATGCAATGTACACTTGATCTTAGCCAAACAGCCAAGTAGCTAAATCATTATAAGGCTAATATTAATTTCCATTTTTATTCTTGGTTTTATTCTGATTTTATCTTATTGGTACAGTAGTACCGTTCATTGCCAGTTGTTTTTAATATTAAAATAGATACATACTTTACTTTCTGTAATCTGATAACTGTTTTATAGCTGCTTAAATTTTTTTATGCATTACTTGTATCAAGTTTTATATTTTCCATTTTAAATGGTTGTACATGCCAAGATAACTCTTACAATAGGGCAGTGGAAAATCTCTGAAAACAAATGAAAATGTAAATAGAATGTCTAACTCTTTCTTGATCTGCTTTCAGGCCAACTTTGATACCAATTTTGAAGACAGAAATGCTTTTGTAACTGGCATTGCAAGGTACATCGAGCAAGCAACAGTGCATTCCAGCATGGTAGGTATCAGCTGATCCAGAACTGACTGAAGGGGATGCAGGATCTACTGTTATGTGGCAACTAACGCTGTTATATTGTCCCATTGTGTTTCAGAATGAGATGTTGGAGGAAGGGCATGAATATGCAGTAATGCTTTATACTTGGAGGAGCTGCTCCAGAGCTATTCCCCAGGTAAGATGTGCAGTTAAATTGTAATCCACTACAATCAGAGAGAAGTTTCTGTCTGCTATCAAGAAAAAATTGAAATATACTCTGAGAATGCTATAAGTTCTCTTTTTCTCAGCAGACAAACTCTAATAACTTATAAGACCCAAGGTATAATAGTCTTCTTATGTTAATGCCATAACTTATGGGCCACTATGACCAGCTTTTGACTACCAGTATTTCCAAAGAAACAAATCACTAGTACATACTCAAATAATGATTTTATTTCTTATTTAACCTACTATGGACAGCCAGTGTAGTGCTGGATTAGAGTGTGAAGACACAGGTTCTAGTCTACACTTAAGCACAGAATCTGGTTGGGTGAATTTGAGCCAATCAATCCTAGACTGGGAAGTTGATAAGCGTTTCACTACAAACTCACATTGGATCATTGTGTAGATTACACTGCATAATCTTAAACAAAGAGGCTTTCATCCTGCAGTTGTGACTTGGGACTTGATAGGTGGACAAAAATACCAAATACAGTCTAAACATTTGGCTGACTGTGCAACCAACCATAATAATATATTTTATGCTGTGTTGTAGTATTAAATGTATCTAGAACAGTATGCATAGCTAATAAAATAAGTACAAATACAAATATATGTGTTGTACAGACAACAAACACAATTATACTAAGTAAGTAAAATGTAGTTTGGAATGAAGAGATGAGTTTTCAACAAGCTAAATATAAAAGACATAAGTACATTCACAAGTATTTGGCTTGTGAATGCTATTCTTTGGCAAGAAAAATTAGGTATAAATTAACATAATAAATGAAGTAAGTATCAGCAACATTGGTTCATTCTGATCTAGAGAACAAATTGTGTAAAAAGCATGATCGTGTAAATGGTGGAATATGATTCCTAGTACTAATTACTTTCTTATAATCTTCTCATTTTTCTCATGTATAAGCCTTTTATCTGACAACTGATTATAATAACTTCCTTTGTCCATGAAAGTCCATCTCATTCTTAAATTGGATTCATCCAAAAAGTACTCCAAGATGTTTTGTTCTTGGTACATTAGACTTTTAAAATTATCCCTTTAAAAATGATCTTGCTCTATGTCCCATGTCCATGAGGACGACTAATATCAAATTGTTATATTGACCTTCAGGTAAAGTGTAATGAGCAGCCAAACCGAGTAGAGATTTATGAGAAGACAGTGGAAGTCTTAGAGCCAGAAGTCACAAAACTCATGAAGTTCATGTACTTTCAGGTAGGTGTTCCAAATTCATGTGCTTCACTCCAGTCCCCTTCACCTGTTATTGTGGCCCACCCAGTTACTGTACAGATGAAAATATATCTTCTATTATTTCTTGGTCCAGAGTTACCCTCTCCTAAGATGGGAGGCCAACTAATTTGATAAATAAAATATCATTTTTGCAGTAAACCTATCTGAGGTATGGTGATTTTGCTAAGTGCTTAGTATTGTTCATGTTCCCATATGGCATCTTATTTTGACTTAATTAGTGAAAGAGGGCAATATCTAAAATTATATGAACACATTTCTGCTGATTGTATCCATTCCCATTCATATATACCTGTACACTTCCCAAACTTGTTTTGAAAGACATAATACTCTTCAAGAGGTAGATTTGATACTGTTGGGGAAAGCCAGCATTTAGTCTGCTTGCTATTTTGTCAACAAATGGATGTTATTGGATGCCACACAGACAGTACTCCAGCTCTTGTTAATATTGGCTGACCTTTCCTTCTGCTTGCCTAAAAAGACTAGTTACACAGATGTGGGAAAACTGTTCTCTAATCTAATGTGAGGTTCATTGTGGTAGATTTTGAAAGATGTTTAACTGCACCACAAATCATAGTCCAAATAAGCAAACCCAAGGACATGACCCCAGATAATGAAAGCCTTTTAAGTTGGAAGATAATATGATAGAAACAGACTAAACTAAAAGTAACAGGAGAAATACTTTAAATACTACTTTATATTTAACACTATCGTAGCTGTGGGCTACTCAAAGCACATAAACACACATTTAGGGGATACCATAGAATAAAAATATTGTGGTGTGGTTGTCACTTTTCTTTTAATTGTGTCACATGAAGCACTATCCTATTCAGATACAGGTTCATTTTCCTTTCTAATGTAAGTTTGTTTATTAGCGTATCTAAAATTAGGTTTTTAAAAGAATTAAACAGAAGAGGAATACAGATTCCAATTTCTTTCTTGAAATTCCCTTGTCAATTGAAGCCCATTTTTTTTCCAGCAGTCCATGTAATACAATTTTCAGCAAATGAAATTAGGTATGTGACTGCCAGATAAAAAGGCACCATTCAGCTATTCTTTTCTCACAGGAGAAAAGTGTAGGTGTCCCAAAGGCTTTGGGGTTGATAGGTCTTCTTAAAAGTTTGACAATGTGCCATGGGCACTTTCACTAACTGGTGCAAACTGAGGAAGATATTTGCTTAGTCACATTCTCTAGAGTAACACTAAATAAAAATGTCAATTTTCAAATAGATCATTTGGTGAGGCTTTAAAGAAAAAACAAATAATCCAACTACCAAATGAAAAAAAAAAGAGATCAAAATCAAGGCCAGAGCTCCCAAAATTCATCCCCACAGTGTGGGGACAGCAGGCTAATGTGGATGCTAAGGTAAATATCTCCAACATATACTTTAAAAAAAATAGAAACAGAGAAAGCAAAATATGCATCATGCCAAAAGCAAAGCCAGGAAAAAAATGCAAGTCAGCCACCACACACAAATCCATAAGGAAAACAGGGCATAAGTGCTGGTATAAAAAAAACAAATACTTCACAATGATACATTTAACATACCCAAAAGAATCCCTTCTTTTTCCATTCTCCAGACTCCTGGGATGCTTCTTAGTACTTCCTCTGCTTGTTTGGATTGTTTTCTGGCTTCACAATTTGGGCCAATTTCCATTTTTAGTTTTTTAGAATGCTTCATGAGGCCCAGTTTGTTGAGGACACCGGATCAACTAGATGAATAAACATCAATATCCCTTGTCTGTGGAGATTCTCAGTCATCCAGGTCATAATTATCCTAAAGGCACTTTTTCACGAGGCAACTGGACTTTCTTGGGTTTTTTTAAAGATGTTTCTTTCTCATCCAAGAAGCTTCTTCAGCTCTTCAGGTGGGAAGCGAAACATTTTCAAAGAAAAACAAGAAAGTCCAGTTGCCTTGTGAAAAAGCACCTTTGGGATCAACATCCCTTGACGCTTTAGGAGATGGCAAATTCAAATTTAGACCAGAGCTGGTGGAATCCCATGTACTTAATAAAGCCTCATTTCTCAGCAATTACTGGCAGTTCCTCCCCTTTTACTCCTTCTTTAAATTATTGCTGTCTTACTATTTCTTAGAGAAAGGCCATTGAACGATTCTGTGGTGAGGTCAAGCGTTTATGCCATGCAGAGAGAAGGAAAGACTTTGTTTCAGAAGCATATCTACTGACCTTGGGAAAGTTTATCAATATGTTTGCAGTCTTGGATGAACTGAAGAACATGAAGTGCAGTGTCAAAAATGACCATTCTGCTTATAAAAGGTGAGATTTGTATGTATGTATGTATTTTATAGGGCTTATTGCTGGGATCTTTGGAAATATGGCCAGTATTTTTTTCAAAGTTAATAGTATTTAGTCATGGAATAGAGGCTTCTGAATCCTGTTTTGTGTCAAAATATATTTACGGTGAAGTAAAGATAATGAAACAGCATTATTGTAGTCCTTTTGTGGCCCCTTTTTATAAATCTGTATTACTCAGCCATATGCTGGCATCGTGTTCCAACTTATCAACAAAATTGAGTTTCTCTTATTTTTCAGAGCAGCCCAGTTTTTAAGAAAAATGGCTGATCCTCAGTCTATTCAGGAATCACAGAATCTCTCTATGTTCCTAGCAAACCATAACAGGATCACCCAGGTAGAATATTCTCTTTTATCTTTTCTCACATAGTATGATACATTAATAAATTTACTTTGGCCTAACATGTATGCTTTGGTCTCCAATTCTAAGGACACAGTACATCATAAGAAGTATTTACAACCATAAGGCCTTATTTGTATTTGGGACTTTTGTGTTTTATTAAATGCAAGTTGTTACATGGGAAATTAATCATCTTGGACTATTTATGAAGCCCTGTGCATTATGAAATAAATATAGGTGTCACTTGTACAACATCATTCATCAACTCCATGAAATAGCAAACACCGTGCAAGGCTTTTAAACACATTTCCATAGCAACCAAATACTGTGGTTTTTATCTATACAACAGATGTGTTCACACACACATACACACACACACACATACACACACACAAATGCACAAAATCAGGAATACACCCTGCTAATAATCATTTGGCATGATCCATTGAATTTTCTGACTCTATTCCATTTCAGTAGAAGAAAATACATATAGCTCAGTATTGAACTATGGAGTTCTTGGTGCTTTCTGGGCTTGATTGTTTGCTTACAGACATTTCATTATCCAACTAGGTAACATCATCAATGTGATGTAGGGTGTGCTGCCTCTTTATGTATAGTAACTTGCCCTGTCAGTTTTTTATTTTTTGCAGGGAGGAGATGTTTGATAGAGATGGAGAAACAGAGCACCAAGTACTCTACTCTATTCCTTTTTTTTTTTTACACAAACACTTAAATTATTGCTTTTGCAGCCTTTGTTAGCAATTAACTTTCGCAAGCTACTACATGTAGAATTGGTTAGTGCAGAAGTCAGAAGCATTGCCTCTTTAAAAAGAATGGTGGTAGCAGAAATACATCAGGAGTAGGCAGATGGTAGGATACAGTAGCTATAGGAAAAGAGAGGTTTAATCTTTCTATATCAGCCTTAGTTACATTGAGACTCCTGGGAAAAATGCTGCCCCTCTCTCTAGCAGTTTTTTTTTGCTGTTGGCATTGCTGCACACATGTTCCTACACTGCATACAACTATTTAGAGCAAAGGCAGTATTTGATGTAAGCAGTTCTTACTTAAATTAATCCATTGCTTATACACCGCGAGGAAGATGCTAAATTAAACTTTACAACCTTTCATTTTGTTCTCACTGAAAATTAGTGAGGGTCTTGTGGGAATTTTTTTTAAGTGCCTGCATCAGCAACTGGAAGTGATCCCTGGTTATGAAGAACTGCTGGCTGATATTGTCAACATCTGTGTGGATTACTATGAAAACAAGATGTACTTGACACCCAGTGAGAAGCATATGCTCTTGAAGGTAACTTCTTTCAATTCTTCACAAATGTCTTTTAGCCATCTCTGTTTTTCCCAAGTACTTTGTGATTTTCATGATGCATGCCTGGGGGGGGGGGGTTGCATTTTTTCTCTTTTTAGATTGTATACTTCTTGAATGCAATTTTTCTTTTTCTTTCAAACAGTAACTATTAAATGACTGTGACAAACATTCAGATGTTGCTTTTATAGTTAGATTTTAACTATGAAAAGACAACTTCTGGGTTATTAAAAGGAAGATTTAAAATTATTAAAAGAACATACATTAAACAAAGTCTTTTCCAGAGTCAGCTTGAAAATCCTTCTTTCTTTATATAAGATTGGAAGCCTATGGGTCAAAGAAAGTAGCCAATCCGTGTGTGTGTGTGTGTGTGTGTGTGTGTGTGTGTGCGCGCGTGTGCATGCTTTCTACAAAGTATTGCATGTCCAGTGCAAATGGAAGATGTATAAGCAAGCCAGGGTAAAATATCTTTACATTCAGAGAACAGCTGCCAGTATGAGTGGACAATACTGAGTAACTGGCCAAATACTTTGAAGCAATTTAAAGAAATTTGTACTTCCTACAATTTTGGAAATCAAAAGTATGTTATGGTTAGTCACAAACTAAATGTAATCTTAGATATATTTTTTTAAATTGAAAATTTGTTCATGGAATATACTCTTTTTCCTTCTTTCAAATGGCAACTATTAAATGGGTCAAGCATTCAGATGTTGCTCGTATTTTTCTTTTAGGTGATGGGTTTTGGTCTGTATCTGATGGATGGAAATGTCAGTAACATTTACAAATTAGATGCCAAGAAGAGAATCAACCTCAGCAAAATTGATAAATTCTTCAAGGTCAGTGTCTGGCTTGGCTCTGGTTCATGACTATTTCCAGAAGAACCCAAAACTATATGTATTGGTATTGTCTAGGGATAAAGCAAGCTAGAACCAAAGGTGTGATTGAATCGCAAACATCTGAATATTTTACTGCTGCATAATTGAAAATTTTAAGCAATTGGGGGTTTTATTTTGTGTGTTTTAACAACATGCTAATATTTCTGCAAAAAATATTCTGATGAATCAGATTCATGCAAATTAATTCCATATCTTACAGATTTCACCTCTGCACAATAAACCCTAACAATCAACTTTGGGGCATGCATCATAGACAGGAATTCTTCTGTTTCTTCTTCAGGGAAAACCTTGTTTCTACAGTGGACATGGCTACTGTACATATTAGGACAATAGGTTGATCATCTTTTAGATAGTGGTGAATTTTTTAATGGAATGTGAGTTACAGTGCACAAGCTTGTCCATTCATATACTTTCGTTTTTAATTTTCATTTTTTAAATTAAATACAGAAAACAAAGAAAAAGAGAATGCACAAAATTACATCAGAAGGAGGGAACTAAAACAAAAAACAAAAGTATACAGGGTGTGCATATTTATAGATACACATACATCAATAAATGGAAACTGGCATCCATTCAGGTACTTTCTGAGTAAAATTAGGTGTGGATAGAGGGGAGAAGAAAGAAAGTCCTTACGGAATTCATTCTAATGGCTGATTGTGAAACACATAATTTGCTTGGTTCTTTTTTCTGATTTACCTCCCTCTGTCCCCTCTTTTTTCAAAAAAATTCAATTGTGCATTATTCTTGGCCCGGTACCAAACTTTTAAAAACATGGTAATGCTAACTTTGACTCATCTCCGAGAGTTAAGAAGGGGTGGACCTGCTGAGAAGTCATGCTGTATTTTCTGTTCTATAGTACAACAGTGAAAGCTATCCAAAAATGCCAAGGCTGTGGAAGAGACTAAAACGAGAAGTCTAAAAAAAAGTATCTCAAAAAAATATATCTCCAAACAGATGCACCAGAGAGGCCATCGAAAGTTAAACTCACCTGGAGAGAAACTTTATCATCATTTTTAGTTTATTTTACAAACTAAAACTAAACTGCATAAAAAGTGTTCTGATTGTTTCACTCTTGCTTGATTTATCTATTAGCAACCAGATCAAGCAACAGCTGCATTGGTTTTAGATAACAGATTTGTATAAATACAGTGTGTTACCTGCTGATCTCAAAAATGTCCCACCTAGAATTTGCTATAGGTTTTGCCAAGAATATTTGGACTGCTTAGAATAGTGGGACCTGCTTGTAGGTAGAAATTTCAATCCATCTTAAAAAAAATATGGCTACTCAACTGTAAAAACTAGGTATCAGTCATGTGTACCTCCTGTATCAGCATGAAAAAGTGTCTGGCCATTTTGCCTGCTTCTTTCAAAAGACAGAAATTATTACGGTACTCTTTCATACTGTGGTGCGTTTTAAACAAAGGATGTAGCATTTCTGCTGCTTAAAAATTTTGAAGAAATGAAAGGGGATTGTTCATAATCATTTACGATGGTTTGCAGAAGTTTTAAAGTTTCCAAATAGCATCTGCTGTACATAAGTGGCCAAACATAGTTCCTGTTATCAGGACAACAGATTTTTGCTGTGAACCTTGAGGTGCCCTCTCCAGTGGCTCCTTTTACAGCAGTTCAATCTGAAGCATTGCTAAACGCTTGTTCTTGAAAATTCATTAAAATAAATGCTTTCCATTGTTAAGTTGAACTCAAAAACTACATTGTAGCTGCATCACCTCTAATTACTAGTTACTAACATTCTACCTACTGCTGTTCAAACATAACAATGTGTTTCATTTAGTAAATAAAGGAAGACAACATCTTTTGGTAAATATTATCTATTATCAGTCTAGTCTTGGCCCACCAGCAAGGTCAATTGCTAAGGATCTTGTTTAATTAAATAAACAGATTTTAAATTAAGGTATTTGTATCCTTGTTCGACTTTACCATACCTTGAAGCTATTGCCAAGTTCCAGAAAGTATTTCACAGTTCACACACATCCCTGTGAATGAAATCTACATGTTAACTGATTTACAAGTTTCATTTTTCTTCTTGCATGCAGAGGTTAAAGTGATTTCCTGCATTTCTGGAAATTATGGAAATTAATTAATTATGGAAATATGGAAATTAATTTAAATTAATTTCTTCCATAAACTTAATATTTGGAGTGCAAGAATTTCAAAAGTGACAGGTACCCAAAGTTTATAGTCCTCATTATCACATGAAGGCCACTTGATTCTTGTATCTGTTTAAAAATAATGTTAAATCTATGCCAAGCACAGTGTAGAGCTATTCTAAAATGTATTAAATATCTGAGTTAGACTTCTATTTTCTTCAGTTACCCAATACCATTTCCATATACAGGTAGTCCTTTTAACCCACAGTAATTGGGATTGCTAAGCAATGCTATCATAAAGCACAATATCATATGACTATGCCAAATTACCTCAGCAATTCTGGCAGTCCCAGTTGCCCTTGTTAGGCTAATCCCACATGGTTGCAATGTCCCACGATCATGTAGTCACCAGTTGTGATCTCCTGCCAACGTCCCCATTGACTTTGCTTGTCTGAAGCTGGCAGTGAAGATTGTAAAATTGAACATATGACCGCAGAACACTGGAATGTCATAATTGTGAGTTGGTTTCCAAATGCCCAAATCGTGATCACTTGATCATAGAGACTCTGTGGTGGCCACTACTATGAGGACTAGTCACAAGTCTCCCCCAACTCTGTTGTAACTTTGAATGGTTGCTGGATGAATGACTATTAAATGAGAACTATCTGCAGTTTAAAGATTTTACTTTACCAAAATAATAATAATAATCATCATCACAGAAAAAGCAATCCTAGCTCTGCCTCTTTAAATATAAGATCTATAATGTGTTAGTAATTGGCTGCTAACTGATTGATTCAACTTTGATGATGTAGTTCATATTATGCTATTTGGGTAGAGTGAATGGTTCAAACAAATCACTGTAATCAAAAATATACTGTGGAGAAGAATGGAAATGAGAAATCACTTTTTCAATAGAGATTCTCGTGCATCAAGTCATGGTTGTCTCAAGCATGCTTTTTCCAAAAGGCAACTGGACTTCCTCTGTTTTTCCTTGAAGATTTTTCACTTCTCATCCAAGAAGCTTCTTCAGTACTGAACTGAAGAAGAACTGAAGAAGCTTCTTGGATGAGAAGTGAAAAGTCTTCAAGGAAAAACAAAGAAAGTTCAGTTGCCTTTTGGAAAAAAGCACAATTGGGAGAAGTCACTTTGTTGAACAAAATCTGACCATGTTTAATCCAGGAACACTCCTTGAAGACTGTAGTTTCCTTTTAGGAAAAAATCTGTTGTTGTATGAAATTGATATTCTGTTGTTTTTATCAATAAAAATGGGCATATAATGTCAAATTATTTTTAAGAAATAACCTTTACTGTTAGGTTTTTCAAAAATGACTATTTAAGGCTACCATATTTGGGTTGCAAAATCTAGATGCTCATTAAATGGCAGCAAAGATTCAGATTTTTGCAACCTACAAATGGTAATCCAAGATTATTAATAAATTCATGTAATTGCTTCAAATGAAGCATATTATCATATACTAAAAACTTACCAAGAGTAAATTTCCTTTCTCACTGGCCAAAGCTATTTTCATTTTTAATAATCTGAGCCAACTGAGAAGACTTGGCTTCATATTTAATAAATGAAATATGTGATTCAAGATTTGTAATGAGAATAGAAATCCTGTCTTCCTGTCTGTATAATAAGCTTCTACATGTGTTGAGATTCATGGCTCAGCATGGTAGCAGGAGGCAAAACAGAAAGTAAAAACATGAAGATAATATTTCCTGTGTCAAAGTGATCATAGTTAGGGTGACCAGGTGCAAGAGAACTTAATGCTCATGCACTGTTACTAATTCTGCTGACATTCCTCTTCTAGGCAGTTATTAATGCAATGGAGGTTCTGCCCTCGGTGAACTTGGCCAGATGATTTAGAGCCACTGTTTTGTTTTCACATGATAGTACTACAGGTAATCCTCAACTTACAACAGTTCATGTAGTGATTGTTCAAAGTTACAACGGTACTGAAAAAAGTGACTTAGACTCTTTTTGATACAACCGTTGCAGCATCCCTATGGTCACATGATCAAAATTCAGATGCTTCAGAACTGCCAGGTATTTGTGACGGTTGCAGTGTCCCAGGGTCACGTAATCACCTTTTGCAACCTTCTGACAAGCAAAGTCAATGGGAAAACCAGATTCACTTAACAATCACGTAACTAACTTAACAACTGCAGTGATTCACTTAACAACTGTGGCAAGAAAGGTGGTTGTAAGTCGAGGACAACTTGTATTCCTCACACTAGATGCCCTGGAACATGGCTGCTTCTTTCTAATAGATATCATTGAGCAGATTAACCTTCTCAAGACCATTAGTATTTCTTTTTCAATATGGCCCCCACCACCACCACTTCATGAACTCAAGAGTGTTTCAATGTACTATATTGTAAGAGAAAGTGTGGTTTTCCGAATAGACCTAACATTCAGAAATCCTGCAGAGGTAGTTTTCAAAAGGAGTGATGCCCATGCAAGATGATGATGAGATTGCTCACTAAAAATTGTGCTGACCTGATTTGAATCATCACAACAACATATTTCTGGGCTTCACCATGAAAATTCACCAACTATTTTGCTCCTCTATATAATTGTTTAGGAATACTCTTTCAGCCTTTTAGCCCCCTCTGGTGGTTAGATACTCCTTTATTCCACACGTCACACTCATACCAAAGGAAGCCTCTTTTCGTTCTTTAAACCATTTCTTGTTTTTTCTTCCAGCAGCTGCAGGTGGTTCCTTTATTCGGCGATATGCAGATAGAGCTGGCCAGATACATTAAGACCAGTGCTCACTATGAGGAGAACAAATCCAAGTGAGTGCCTGCCATAATGTCTCTTGGCTTTGGTGTGTCTTAGTCTCCTCTCCCACTCGTGTGTAAGCTCACTGCGTGACTGCCTGTGAGCCTGTGTCCGAGTGGTTAAATGATTGAACATACAAATGAGTGCTTTGCTAAGGATGTATGTCACCATATAAATTTCTTATTTTCTCTTTGCTGTACCTTGAAAGACACTGATTCTACCAATTCTGTACAGTTAAATGTACCTTACTTCCCTGAAATAAACCAATTCTTCCTTGGTTCCCTAGCCAGATCTCCCAGTAAGCCATGAAAATGAAATGAAGAAATAACGTGTGCAGAAAGTGCTGTCTTTTAAATGTTGATTCCTCAAGTACTGCCATCTTTGGAATTGAATATTCTTCAACCTTAATCTCCCTTCTCTGGTATTTTCTGATTCTTAGACATCCCGACATCTCAGGCTGTGAGTTTGAACTGACGGAGTGCCTAAAAGCCCCTATTTTTTTTATTTATTAAAGGATCAATTCAAGAATAACTCTAGAATTGCTCTGAAGATATAATTAAATCAGATTATTTTGCCCTTGAAGTGGCAGTCCAGATCTTTTGGGACCTTTCTCTGCTTGGCTACACAGAGATTATTATCTTTTGATGACAAATCCAGGCATGCAGTTACTGAAAACATATATCAAATATAAGACTTATAATTCTGTTTTATATCAACACTTTCCAAGCTCAGTGAACTCTGGCTACCATTCAAAATTCCTGCATTCCTAGAGTTTTCCCCAAAGTCAGGCAGATTTTGCTCCTAAGTTTCAACTTTCTTACTTACTCCTTGCTATTTCCATCTTAATTTCATTTTAAAATCTCATCCAGTCCCTTGGCTAGTGAGGGATGTAGATTTACCTTCCTCAAGCTTTCATAATGTTCACCAGTCAGGTAGCTAAATATCTCTAAATAGCAAAGTGCTCATAAATTATAGCCATAAAGATGTGTCTTTGGGGATACAGGGAAGAACTGAGAGCAGATCAGTAATTTGCACCAACAGTTTATGTGTCTGCATGAAGGCCAATATCTGAATACTTGTGTGTATAAGAAAGTACTGACTGAGCGGTTTTGATGAAGGTGGAAATGAATGAATGATTGGATTTGTGCAAATGTGTATATGTGAAGTATGCTTACCTGGCTGAAAAATGGATACGGCTGTTAATGTATAGGAGTGGTGATATACACTGGCAATATATTTGCATATATTAAATTCAGTGTCTGTACTTGTATGTTGACTGTTATTTGTTTACATGCTTGATGGTTGTGAATGTAGGTATGAATGCTCATACTGTGAACATGTATGTAACCGAGTGTGCCTGCTCTGGGTAGTTTTTATCCACATTTTTTCAATTGGATAGAAAATCCTCCAGAGCATGAACACAGCACTCTATCTGTCCAAAAGAATTCTCAGAATGGGCTTTAGGCAGGACAATAAAAGAAATGTAGCATAAACTCTAATTACTTCCAACTAGAATTGTTTTCAGTGGAATTGTTCATAGGGATGAATGTGGATCTTGGAGAGTGTCTTTAGTGATAGCTTAGAGGGGAGTTATTTATTTATTTATTTATTTATTTATTTATTTATTTATTTATTTATTTATTTAATTTTTAAGCTGCCCAGCTCCCCCTACAAGGATCCTGGTAAATGAAATCACAATTAAGGGTTAAATTATGACCACCTCTCTTGATATGGAATTCTAGGAGGCCATGCTGTCCCCTGTATTTAAGGCAGCCTCCCCTGTAGCTATTTCTAGTCATGAAGGGTAAGTGTTGCAGTTCAATTTATTGCAAGACATAAGTCCAACTATACCGAAGATCACAAATTTGATAAAAGTATTGCTGCATGCCTTTCAGTTGGCAGCTTCACTTTCCATTTCACTACACAGCGTGGTGACTTTATTTTGAGATAATTACCAAGATTCGAACCAAATAAATAGTTTCGATTTCTCAAATTTAGATCACAAGACCAGCAGTCACAGAGTTATTGCTAATAAAAGACAAACACTAACTACTACAAAAAAGAAATTATAATTGGATTTCATTACTGGAATTCGTGGTGTTCGTTGGGTGCATATTTATTTCGTTTTATGGTATCTGACTAATGACTTCCATACTACATAAATTGTGTATGTTGTTTCTCACTCATCATTCTAACCTTTACTTCTATTGCCAAAATAAGTTGGATTTTAAAATCAGCCTAATCCATGGAAGTATTTAACAATGTGTGTTTAATCCCATTTCTAATCTATCCTACTACATCCCAAAAATCAAACTGTAACCTATTTCTTCTTCTCATCTTTACTTACTAACAATTATTTACTTATTCAGTTTCTAAGCAGAGCAGTATCACCTCCTGTGCCTCTTTCTCCTTCCTTGGAAAAGAGTTTATGAACACTAACTTGGCTGTACAACAATTGTGGGGTTTTTATGTTCCTGCACATTCATGCCCCTCTTTTCCTTTTCGTCTCCCTAATTCATTTCCATCCTTGTGGTGAGATGTAATTAACTGTGTTTTTTTTTCCCTTGTATGGCCTTTTAATTTTGTGTAATGGAATAGATTATATATGGCAATCTGAGCTAGTACAGCAAAATATCTGCTCACCACTGATAACCTGTTGATGATTTCTTTGGGGGAAGCAGTACATTGAAAGGGTAAGAGTAACGCATTGGATTTCTGAACACCTGGAAATATAATAGGACCTAATCATCACTGTCAACGTAATTAAGAGAATTCCATCTACTTCAGTATAACCAAGAAGATCTAGTCCCAGAAATGAGATTTTAAAATATCCTACTCTTTCCAAATAAGCAGCAAATTTTGAATAGGAAAGTTGGCACTTCATATAGTCTGCATAAATACCCCTTACTGACATTTACCTAGAAGACTGGTTTCTTTGCTACATTTAAGAATAATTTGTGGTCATGTAAAGAGAGAGGGAATGAATGGCTAAGTTCAAACTTCATAGAAAACCTCGTTAAAGATGTGTCACTATTGATGTCATCTTAAACTGAGAAATGATGAATCTGTAACTAAGACTTAGAAATTCTAATTTGAGGATTTTATAAAACGTTTGTTTGTTACTCACTATGATTCTCTGTGTTATCTGAATAGATGAATCATAGCTTAGACCTTGCACTGGGAGCCAAGAAAAGGAAACTATTCTAAACTATGTTTTGCTATTATTTTTATGGTTGCCAGATGTATCAAATCATTTTTGTCCCTTATTTATTTCCTAATTCAATTTTTTACTTTTTAATGTCCTGTATTGGCATAAACCTAGAATGTTATAAATATATGTTAAATAGACCCTAATTTTTGATTCTAGACATCTTTTCCTTTTACACTTTTGTTTACAGTATATATAATTTCTTAAAGACCAGTCCTCAAATTCTGTTGTGCACTTATTGAGTGAATAATTCCGTTTGTCGTCCATGGATTTGTTATTTTTACCCCAAATAAGTAAAATAGACATATCGCATATAGGAAACATTATGAAACAACACATCTACTGCCAACAACTATAGTTTTCAGTTACTGGGTGAGGACCATATCAAAAGACATTGGGCCAAATGAGGTATTAGTAGACCATTGGAGCAAATTTATCTTGAGTAATAGCTATAGGTTCAGGAATGAGTGTTAACTTAAAGACATTGATTTTCTGCCCAGATGGACATGCACTCAGAGCAGCATCAGTCCACAGTATAACATATGTGAGCAGATGGTACAGATCCGAGATGATCATATCCGGTTTATCTCTGAACTTGCTCGCTACAGCAACAGTGAGGTAAGCTTCCATGAAGGCATGTGTTGCACAATCCATGTGTGAAAGAATAAATGTTGAGTGCATTCTATGGACAAATCAGGATTGCTGTGATTCTGTGTTTGATTAATGGTGTTGGAATGCAAACAGCTTGCCTCTTGGAGAGTCAGGTGTTGAATGCCCAACTCTTGTCTATTCCAACCAACAGCAGCTCTCTAGATATTCAGAGTAGAAAGATTTTCCTCATTCAAAACTGTGTAACTCTCTCTGTTCTTCTATATCATAGATATATTCTGCAGTCCAATTCTTATTTACTATTTTGTATAGAAAAGTACATGATGCAATATCCCAGGCCATGTGCAGTCCTGGAACACCCTATGTGCTACCTGCAAATTTTTTCAAAGGTTGCCTTTAAATTATAAGTTTTTAAATTTAGATGGTGGGGGAAAATATTAAAAAGTAATCTTTGTAATTCTGTCTAATTGATTTGTTTTCAACTAAACTTAAATATTGGTTAAACCGAATTAGTCTTTATTCAGACTCCATCTACTTATTTGAATTGTGGATCCACTATACCATTGAAGAATAAATATGAATCTTCTTCTGAAAACAATTAAGAATCCCTAGGTGTTCCTAGGCCTCCCAAATTCCAAATTGTATCATGCTTTTAGTGCTTTCAGATGATGTACTGTTGGGCACTGTTTCAACCCAGCACCTGTATACCGTAGTTTGGATATCTACAGCCTTTCCCATTTCAAAGTTAAAAAACTTTCATAATTAATTAATGGGCAGATGATTGCCTGCACAATAGAGGGCGCTATACTACACAACTATACTACGCATATATGAACCCAAAGGAGAAGTTATCCTAGATATTTACTGTTTGTCAAAATGTCTGCAAAAGAATTCATTGAAAGTTGCAATAATTAAGAAATTCAGGTGCATTTTTCTCTGTTTGAAGATCTTCCTAGTTTTATCTGAACATGCAGGAAACTGGATGAATTTAGATAGTTCAGTGTTATCTTTGGGCTATATTGTTCAGGATATGTAGGTGAAGGGCTAGAATATGAAAATGATTGGAGGAATCATTTCACTTTGATGTCGACCATCTGTGTATTTTAACTCAACAGCATTCCAGCAATTCTGGATTTGTAAGCCACCCAGATTCATTGATTGAGATGGACGGTTATAGAAATTGAGTAAATAAGTCAATCAATTAATTTCTCAGTTCTTCTCCTTATTGCCTGCCCACTGATTAACTCTTATTGATGAATGTTTGCAATTTCTTGCCCAGTTAATGAAAATAGCAACCTGAAGCAACTACAGGAAAAGATTCCTGAGTAAGACAAATGTCTGCTGTTTTTCCAGGTTGTAACGGGCTCAGGACTGGATAGTCAGAAGTCAGATGAAGAATATAGGGAGCTTTTTGATCTGGCTTTACGGGGACTTCAGCTTTTGTCCAAGTGGAGTGCACATGTGATGGAAGTGGTAAGTATTATTTTTTTCTGATAGATTTATATGCTGAGTTTTAAGATAAAGCTGCCTTCAGTATAAGCCAGTGTCTTGAACGTGTTTTAATTTACTTTCCCTCTAAAGCATGCAAAAACCGAAGAGTTATTTAAAGATGCACGTGCCTGTTTACAAAACCTAACTTAAAGAAAACAGAATCTACATATACTGGAGAAATTATGATATAGGCTGAATTTAGTTTTTTTTCCCCCCAAGAAATCAGTGTGTTGGATTTTTCCAACTGGATTTTTCTGTTTTTTCTTTTCTCCTTGAAGTATTCTTGGAAGCTGGTCCATCCCACTGATAAGTTCTGTAACAAAGATTGTCCAGGCACTGCCGAAGAGTATGAGAGAGCTACAAGATACAATTATACCAGTGAGGAAAAGTTTGCTTTTGTGGAGGTAGGTGGCTGTAGCCCTCATTTTTGCACCAGGGTAGATAGTTTCCTTGAATGGGATGACTCAAACAATCTTGTATTGAAATGGAATATTGGAGGATCCAGACGTTGCCGTCTTCAGTTTACAAGTGTCCTGTTTTCTGCACTTGTTCTTGTATTATTTTTCTTAGCAGAGAAAATCCACGCGAATCCAGGGCTTCCAGGGTAACAGTGGAAGAGCGCCTTTGGAATGCAGTCTGAGATTCCATGCAGATGCGCATGGTATAGTTAAAAGAGCCACACTGACTATTTTTATTCTACTAGGTTATTGCTATGATCAAGGGCCTGCAAGTGCTCATGGGTCGCATGGAGAGCGTCTTCAACCAAGCTATCAGGAACACGATCTACGCTGCTCTGCAGGACTTTGCTCAGGTGACTCTGAGAGAGCCTCTGAGGCAAGCGGTCAGAAAGAAGAAAAATGTCCTCATCAGGTAACTAAATTGGATTCAGTGTCGATTCCTAGAAGCTTTGTAAATACATGGACTCTATTTAATTATTTTTTTCTGCATGCGTACACCCAGAATTAAATTAGTGTATATGTTTCTAAGTGCAGGATTGATTCCATGCATGGCTTACAGAAAATGCCAGGCTGAATCTATAGTATTGCCGATTAAAAGGTAGAAAGATTGGGAAGTACTTAGGCTGCAAGTGTAGAAAACTGGAGGAAGAATAAACAGTTCCTGGTTAGGTGGATCAATGGTGTCAAGCAAGGTATTTTCAAATACTTGCTGTCCCCAAGAATTTGTATTTAGAAAATCAGCCTTCCAGACAGAATCTACATATGCTGGATATTTGGCCAGTAATGTCTCTCTCTTTGATAGAAAAGATCTTGGTAGAACATGGATTATATCATATCTCTTATAACCAAGAAGCTCTTGCGGTTGTGCTTTTTAGTTTTCTCCAGCTTCTATCGCCTATTTGGTGGCAGCAGAGCCTCAGATAGAAAGTCCATACAGAGAATGGTAAGGACAGCTGAGAAGATCATACAAAGCTTGCTTCCTGGTATTCAGGATGCTACTTATAAGCGCTATGTGCTTAGAGTTCAAAGCATTGTGAGAGACCCCACACACCCACTTTACAGTCTGTTTCTGTTGCTCCCCTCTGGGAGAAGGTTTTGAAGTATTTCTAACAGGACTACCCGATTCCATCATAGCTTTGTTCCCTATGCCATCCGTCTGGTAAACTCGCAAGATTCTTTTTCTCGCCATATACATGTATACATAACCTGAACTAGACTGTGGTTTCTCTGTGTCATATAATATATGTGGATATATGCATAATTCTGTATTTATTTTTGTCATATTTATGTAGTGTATATCAGAGGTGGTGACCTTTGAGAGCTGAATGCAATGAAATTTCATTTTAATGTATGCCGATTAGTGTACATTCAAAGTGAGAATATGTCATGGTTCCAATAGATGAGACAAACTAAAACAGAACTCTGAGGCTTGAGGTTTCCTTTAGGAACATGTTTATTGGCTACAAAGTATCGTCACTGTCAAAAGTGAAATCAAAACTAAAGTTCCCTCCAAAAAGTAACAGTATTACAAAGTTAAACTTCCAACCCCATAACCTATGCAATTCCACACTTGGAATACTGCATCCAGTTTTGGTCATCACGATGTAAAAAAGTTGTTGAGACTCTAGAAAGAGTACAGAAAAGAGCAACAAAGATGATTAGGGGACTGGAGGCTAAAGCATATAAGGAAAGGCTGCTGGAATTGGGTATGTCTAGTTTAATGAAGAGAAGGATGAGGGGGGACATGACAGCAGTGTTCCAATATCTCAGGGGCTGCTACAAAGAAGAGGGAGTCAAGCTATTTTCCAAGGCGCCTGAAGGCAGGACAAGAAGCAACAGATGGAAACTAATCAAAGAGAGAAACAACCTAGAACTAAGGAGAAACTTCCTGACAGTTAGAACAATTAACCAATGGCACAACCTGCCTCCAGAAGCGGTGAATGCTCCAACACTGGAAGATTTTAAGAAGAGCCATTTGTCTGAAATGGTATAGGGTTTCCTGCCTGAGCAGGCGGTTGGACTAGATGACCTCTAAGGTCCCTTCCAACTTTATTATTATTATTATAACTACGTTTCCCAATATAATAGTTTGGTGGGCTTTCTAACAGAAGGCTCACCCCCCAGTCTAATGAACAGAAATGACCTTGGTTCCCACGGGACAGAAAATTGTTTAAGCTAGCAGAAAAATTCCACCACTCCCCTCCCATTTTGGTGGCAACCGAAAACGAGCCAAATGGCTTCATTCAGGTTCATTGTAGAGTTGACACAATAATGTTATTATTCTATTCTATTCTATTCTATTCTATTCTATTCTCATTCAATAAACTATCAGAACATTTTGTTTCTCCTATTCTCCTCATCACCACCACTTCCAGCAACGCACACAATCTCTTTGTCTGTGTGAGTGTGTATATAATGTGTATGAATGTGTGTCTGTAAATGAAGACAATCTTCATTCATCTGCTGCTTTATCCTGAATGGATTAGCAACTGAAATTAGCCTTTTAATGTGATATGTGATGTTTAACTCTTTTACATGACAAAGTAGTAGAGCTTTTTTGTATTAATTAGTGTTAATGCTATCAGGTTTGTATGATATCCCTAAGCTTCAAGCGGTACTTACATAGTTATATTTGTACTTCATATTCAAGTTGATTGTTTAGGCTTAGCTATAAACACAGCAATTCAGCACAATGATAGATCCACTCTTCACCTTCCCAGTGTTCTTCAGGCAATTAGAAAGACAATCTGTGATTGGGAGGGAGGACGTGAGCCTCCAAACGATCCCTGTCTGAGAGGGGAGAAAGATCCCAAAGGGGGTTTTGATATCAAAGTCCCACGACGAGCTGTTGGGCCTTCAAGCACACAGGTATGTGTTTCTTTATTAAGAAGATGCAGGTTAATTTATGAACCAGATGTTTAGAATAGGTGTTTTTTTATTATTATAAAGACTCAGCCTTCCATCCTTCCGAGGTCAGTAAAATGAGGACCCAGATATTGGGGGCAATATGCTGACTCTGTAAACCACTTAGAGAGGGATGTAAAACACTGTGAAGTGGTATATAATATAAATCTAAGTGCTATTGCTATGTTGAGATGTTGAGGCTCTAGAAAGAGTGCAGAGAAGAGCAACAAAGATGATTAGGGGACTGGAATTTAAAACATATAAAGAACGGTTGCTGGAGTGGGCTATATCTAGTTTAATGAAGAGAAGGACTAGGGGTGACATGATAGCAGTGTTCCAATATCTTATGGGTTGCCACAAAGAAGAGGGAGTCAAGCTATTCTCCAAAGTACCTGAAGGCAAGACAAGAAGCAATGGATGGAAACTAATCAAGGACAGAAGCAACCTAGAATTAAGGAGAAATTTCCTGAACAATTAATCAGTAGAACAACTTGCCTCCAGAAGTTGTGAATGTTCCAACACTGGAAGTTTTTAAGAAGAGATTGGACAACCATTTGTCTGAAGTGGTATAGGGTTTTCTGCCTGAGCAGGGAGTTGGACTAGATGACCTCCAAGGTACCTTCCAACTCTGTTGTTCTATTTTATCCTATATGGTAGTCACTTAACATCTGCTGCAAAAAACTATCATAAAATGGGTTGGTCATATGATCCACCAGCTTTACGACTGTCACATCTTACAACTGTATTGGGAAGTCTCCATTATAGTCATAACTTAAATATTACCTGTATTCTATTATTTATCCATTTGTGTATATCAGGGGCTTCCTTTCTCCTTTGAAACAGATTGTTATGACTGTAATAGTAGTAGCAAACCTTCTGTGCTCCAAAATAAATCTGCTTTTCCACTGAGATCAAGAAGGGAAATCCTGTTGAGATGCCCATCTCCAAGTGAATTCCACCTTCCAGGTTCCTTTGAGCAGGCCTACTCAATAGTACATCCTCAGCTGTGGAATAACAGATATGGACTGACAACCACCTCTCTTCTCAGTTTCCAGTGAATGTGAATAATGTTCTCAAGTTACAACCACAATTGGAACTGGAATTTCAGTCCTAAACCATGACAGTTGTAAGTCAAAGTGCCCATGTGACTAGACCTGATTTTACAACCATTTTTATGGGGAGCTCATTAAATGAATCATATAGTTGTAAGGGCTAACCCTTTCTCCCGAATGTATGGTTTTTGCCAGAAACCAATGTAAAACATCAGAAGCTGGCAAAAAAAGAAGCAAATCATGGTCAGATGACTGCAGGATGCTGCAACCAGTCATAAATGGAAACTAGCTGCCAAGTACCCGAAAGTGGTCATGTGACCAACAGGGGAGCAGTGTGACATTTTATGACAGCACATTCCCAAGGCCCTTATAAACATTGTAACTCCAAATCGTTGTTAAACAACTGGTATTAAGTTGAAGATTACCTGCACTATTATTTATACATGATGAATATTATTACTTACAAAGGGATTGCTGTAATAACAACCATCAGCATGTCGTTTCAGCTTTATATGGTGAGGACCATGCTAGAATCCCTCATTGCAGACAAGAGTGGTTCAAAAAAGACTCTTAGAAGCAGCCTGGATGGACCAATAGTTCTGGCCATTGAAGAATTCCATAAACAGTCCTTCTTCTTTACACATCTTCTCAATATAAGTGGTAAGTAGCAACGTCAAGCCTGAAATAAATAACCTAGACAGAATTAGCTTGTCAAGAGTTAGCTTGTTAAGAATAGCCAGCTCTGGAGCAATGAATTTTCAGTTCACTGTGGTTATATTAAAGAATTATTAGAACTGAGTGTGAACTTGAAATAAATTGTTAGTCAAATTGTTTAGTTTTTTAAAATAAATTATGATCTTATTCTTGTAAGAAAACAGTCTAATTTTATATATTCATATATTCAATTTTATCGGTTCAAATATGCTGTTACATTATCTCCATGTAATATTTGTAACATGGAGTTGTTGTATTCACACACTCTGCAATGTATTTTTTTTTAATTTAATTTTATTTTATTTTAGACCAACAAAACACAACAAAAATTACACACATACACACGTAATATATCCTTTTTTGTTAACAGCAGTTTGTAACAGTACTCTTCTATTCTTTACATTTCCCCCCTCTTTCTTCTTTGAAATATTTGTCCTTATTGCCCCATTGTTTCTTATTTACATTTTCCTTCTTTCATATTCTACTACTTACTAAGAATCCAACATTATTCATTGTAATACACTCATATTTTGTATAAGACTCGACCGGAATTCCATCTAAGCATGGTGATCATACAAATATTCTCATATTATTTAGTGCATATGCAATGTATTTTTTTATGCTGTATGCATTAAACCTGTCTTGCAGTTTATTTTGGGGAATATTATATGCTTTCACTTAACACTTTTACATTGGGAAAATGTTTTATGTTTTCAGAAGCCCTCCAACAGTGCTGTGATTTATCCCAACTTTGGTTCCGAGAATTTTTTCTGGAGTTGACCATGGGTCGCCGAATTCAGTTCCCTATTGAGATGTCAATGCCATGGATTCTAACTGATCACATCCTGGATACCAAAGAACCCTCCATGATGGAGTAAGAACTCCAGGATGATATATGCAATGTATCTGTGGGTGTCTTTGTGATAATACTTGAAGGAATTTGATTTAATTCAAATTCAGCTTTCTGCCTCGTGACAGGGAGCAGTAATCAGTCTCCCTGATCAGATTCTATTGCATCTGCCAATCTCTTTTGAAGGATAATTTACTTTTATTTATTGCATGTGGTTTAGTGGTACCCTCACCAAGAGGAGTGAATGGGCTGAAGTGTTTTTAAATGACAACACGTTTCATATAGCATAAAGGAATTATGAAGTGACTTGTATAAAGCGATTTTTAAGGATGTAAGGAAAAATTGATGATAGGAAATAATTTATGAGCAGTCTAGTAGATGGGCACTTGGCTGATAGAGGCTAATAGAAATGTTGCAAATGAATGAATTCATAGGCAGTTGTGATTGGCTGGATTACGAAATACCATTTTATGCATGAAGAAATTTTTTTATACAGCCAGAGGGATTGTAAGCAAATATTGATTCTTAATGCATATAATTAAGAAAGCTTGCTTTAACATTGTATTAAATTTTATGCATGCTAACCCCAAACCGCTGGTTTTTAAATTAAATTGCATTTTAGAATTTCTACAATAGTTGAGACAAATGTTTGCCCAAAGATGTCTGTGCTGACAGATAATGAGCCTATTTCATTCATTGCAGGTATGTGCTCTACCCACTGGACCTCTACAACGACAGTGCGTATTACGCTTTGACCAAGTTTAAAAAGCAGTTTCTCTATGATGAAATTGAAGCAGAAGTAAGTTCTCTCTGCATTATTTTCGTTAATTATTAATATCAAACATTTGATTTGTTTTACTTATGCCTCACTTCAACTTTTATGCCTGTTATTCTAAAGCCCATTTCTGGTTCTTTTTCTATCAGGTGAACTTGTGTTTTGATCAATTTGTGTATAAACTGGCAGATCAAATCTTTGCTTACTATAAAGCAATGGCTGGCAGGTATGGAGCCTCTGTTGGTTTGGGGAGCATTGCGTCAGCTATTCATGTTCTTCTGTATGCATAAACTAGTTCCTGAGCTGAAGGATGTGTGATGACATTACAAGAAGTAGACATAGCTGGAAATTGATGGGAAAAGATTGTTCATACTCAAACATGATAGCAATAATTCATGGCAAACCTTTGCATAGTATTGCTTCTTACTAAATGATCAATGCTTCTTCAGCAATTAAAAATCAACTGGTTGAATAATATCACTAACATCTGTTTTACATCAGGGAAACCAGTCTCCTTTACTATCAAAATAGTAGCTGTTTCTAGACTATTTCATCTTTCCACATATGATTCACATAATTAATTTGGCAATTCACATTGTCCTGATAAATTATTGGTTTTGATTTCTGCTAATGAGCCAATACCTTTCCAATGTAGCTTAACAAGTCATTTTAGATATTGGAAACATTCTTTCCACGACCAAAAAAACCCAAGTTTTCAGATTTATATTATGATGATGACAATAGTAATAATATTCCTGACTAACCATCTTTTCATACTAACATTGAATGAACAATATATAGGAAATAATAAGACATAGATTCTTGTAACCCTACTCAGAAAAGCATTTAAAATTTATGGAGAGAAAGCAAGAATTGCTTCTATGTCAGTTTCTACGTTCAACCTTCTTCTGTCTTTATTTGTTTCTTCATTATCCCTTAATGCAAGCACTAGATCTTGTTATATAGCTGTTCTTTTCACTGACATCTAGAGAATAAGTGAATTGCGGTAGTGAAGAGCCAATCAAGTAAAGATTCTTATGAGTATTTTCCATTTGCAGTGTTTTACTGGATAAGCGCTTCCGGGCTGAATGTAAAAATTATGGAGTGATTATCCCTTACCCACCATCCAATCGCTATGAAACCTTGCTCAAACAAAGACATGTCCAGGTACAATTTCCTTTTAGCAAATTCTTTGGTGTTTTTTATGGACTGCTCTTTAGGGCAAATTCACACATTAATTTCCCATGGGAAAGTCTGGGGGAATTAGTAGGCATGGCATACTCTTCCATGGCTTAGAATACTTGTTTGCAAGTATTTATGTTTTCCAGTGTCACATTTCAGATAATCATACTAGCAAAAGGTACATGTGTAATGGCTTCACCTGTGAATCTCTATATGGCAGAAGGCATTCTACATAAGAGATATTTTTGGAAAATATAAAAAGTACTCTCAATGTAAGGAAGGAAATAAATAATGGCTAACTCCGTTGCCAGCTTATGTTATAAAAAGTAATGTAGCCCAGGTGAGAAGAAATCTGGGGGAAAATCTTTCAAAGTATTCAAAGAGACATTGCCATAATTAACTCACTATAAAAGAAAGGGGGGAATTCCTCTAATATTTCAAGATTTTTGTTGCCCCAGGTGAACATTAAAGATGCCGTCTTGGAAGCTGATAGTTTGTGTCCCATTGGTCTTGTTCAGCATCCTGCAGTTTGACACCTCGTGCCAGTCTGAAACTTTAAGCACTCTATTATTCTCACTCTGTACTTGATTTTGGCTCTATTTTTAATCACCAAGTTCTTGGTTTTACGCTTGTGTCTTTTGCAGCTGCTAGGGAGGTCAATTGACTTGAACAGACTTATCACCCAGCGTATCTCAGCTGCGATGTACAAATCATTAGATCAGGCTATCAGCCGCTTTGAAAGTGAAGATCTGACATCCATAGTGGTAAGTATTGCTCCAAAACAAGGGGGGCGGGAATCAAAAGAAATACAGGATTGCACAGTATTGCATGTCTAATACAATTGTATCCATCAATACATTCAATTTATATCTATTAAAGTGTGTTATTATCAGTGTAGTAATAAAATAAAAAATACATCTGCAGTATGTATGTTTTTACAGTGAGTCCTAATTTGCTCACAAGTATGTTGAAGTGATGTCAAACCTGTATATAACTTTTGGCAATTGTCTGCATTTAATGATTTTATTTATAGACAAGGAAGAATTATCAGTATTTCTTTCTAATGTGGAGATGTGTTTGAATATTAGTAGCTCGGGTTGGTAGTTGGGCTGTTGGTTTGATCTCAAATGTTTGATCTCAAATGTTTGCGATTTGGCTGCAAACATTTCGTCTCCATTCGGGGGGACATCTTCAATGCGCTTTGAATTGTGCTTCTCTGTCAGAGTGCTGACCTTTAAATACCTTTTTGTGTGATGTAAATTGGTGTTGGTGTTATTTGTCCGGATGGTTCTGAGTCATGATCTGGTTTTGGGCTTTTGGTATATGACTCTTCATATACCGTCATATACCGAATCCAGTGCAGCAGCTGTGAAAAGAACTATGTGGGCCAGACAGGAAGAAAACTATCTACCAGACTGCACGAACACTCCCTGGCTATCAAAAGACCCAACCCACTATCCCTCATGTCCGTCCACGAAGACTCAAAAGGACACAAGTTTGATCTAACCGGGTTCACAGTTGTAACCCAAGAAGAGAAAGAGAATTCCTCGAAGCCTGATTCTCCACCAGTAAATCAATAAACAGACACATTGACATCAGCCCAATCTACCAACCACTGAGAACGAAAGAACTATTTCAACCACAATCCCGAAGGCAGCATTTAAAACAAACAAGCAGACAACCCCCACACAGCAAAAATCATAGCCCCCCCCCAAGAAACCAGACCACGTCTCGACAACAACATCCAGCCAACCAAACAAGCCGAAACCAGACCATGATTCAGAAGCAGCCAAATGAACAAACCATTTGCATCGCACAGACAGTACTTAAACACCAAGGACTATGGCCCAACAACAACAACCAGCCAATCAAACAGCCATGATTTGCCAAGCTCAGAGATCAAACAAACAGCTTGTTTCTTTCTAATTATTAAGATTTTCCATACTTCTTAAATATGTGTAAGATTCAAGTTCCCTCTGAAATTGGCAGGATGTTGTAAACAACTTGGGTTGGGAAGAAGCAAAAATTGGACTTGATTCTGATTCACAAATGCACTTTATACAAGAGTCCTTGACTTACAACAATTCATTTAGTGACTGTTTGAAGTTACAATAGCATTAAAAAAGTGACCTATGACTATTTTTAACATTTATGACCGTTACAGCATCTCCATGGTCATGTGATCAGAATTCAGACACTTGACAACTGATATTTATGATGGTTGCAGTGTCTTGGGGTCAAGCGATCACCTTTTGCAACTTTCTGACAAGCAAAGTCACTTAACAACTGTGTTACTCACTTAACAGTTGCAATGATTCACAGCTCTGGCAAGAAAGGTCATAAAATAGGGCAAAATTCATTTAACAACTGTCTCACTTAGTAACAGAAATGTTGGTTGTAAGTCAGAGACTACCTGTATATAGAACATATTTGTTAATATTTGATTTAATCTAATAATATGGGGTAAATAAACATTGTATATAAGGGATTTCAGTTTTTATCCTGATAAAGCAGATTTTTTTTTTCAATGCAGGAACTTGAATGGCTTTTGGAGATCAATCGTTTGACACACAGACTCTTGTGCAACCACATGACTCTGGACAGTTTTGATGCCATGTTCCGCGAGGCCAATCATAATGTGTCAGCTCCTTATGGGCGCATTACGCTGCATGTCTTCTGGGAGCTAAACTTTGATTTTTTACCTAATTACTGCTACAATGGGTCTACTAACAGGTACAAATGAAATGTCAAAATAATATGTTTTGGTCCTCTCACTGAAGACTAGAGATAAATCACTAAGCTGCTAGGGTCCCAAAGGTGCTTTTCACGAGGCAACTGGACTTCTTTGTTTTTCTTTGAAGATGTTTTGCTTCTCATCCAAGAAGCTTTGTCAGCTCTGATTGGATGGTGGGGAATGGAAGGATTTATACTTCTTGCAGACAGCTGGTCATTTGCATTCTTTTAGAGAGTCATTGAGGCCACTTGGAGGTTTATCTGTGTCCTCAGGTCATTTAAGTAGTGCAAATGGGTGTGAAGCCTTCTTGGAACTGTTGAAAGGACTGTGTTGTAGACTGGAGATAGATGATGACTACAACACAGTCCTTTTAGCAGTTGACCTTGAGGACACAGGTAAACCTCCAAAAGGTTTCAACTACTCTCTAAAAGAATGCAGATGACCAGTTGTCTGAAAGGAATATAAATCCTTCCATTCCCCACCATGGGATAACTATGACCTGGATGACTGAGAATCTCCATAGACATTAAGCTGCTAGGGATAAATAACTGCAATAGTTTTGCCTCTCTGTGCTTACTGCTCTTCCCAAAAACTAGAATACGTTTCTTAACAAGAAGACTTCGTTTTACAGTACAACTAATTGCTCAGAGAGACAGTGGTTGTCACCAGCTGTCTTCAAGTAGAAGCTGCACAAGTCTAGAATAATTTAATTTTTAATTATTGCACTGAGTAGGTGTTTGGATTCTGTAGCCCAAATGGCTCCTTTCTATTCCATAGTCCAAACCAGGTTGCATTATATAATGAATTCCATGTAACTGACTAGTATGGATGCAAAAGTGTTAGATGTCTTACTGGAAGATACATCTAAAATAAGTAGTGTTAAATTAGGAAGCAATGTTTAATTGAAACATAGATATTTTGTGTTATTAGTGGCTTGGGATGACTAATATAGCCCTCCTCCTCCTCCAGTTTCACACACACTTTTTTTGTCTCTTTTTATAAATATTAGATTTGTGCGGACAGCCATTCCATTCACTCAAGAACCCCAGAGAGATAAACCTGCCAATGTTCAGCCATATTATCTTTATGGTTCAAAGGTGAGTCAAAAAAAATGTTTGCTATTTCTAGATCCCCATACAGCTGATAGGGGAATTTGAAAATTCCTGTGTTCCAATTTTATGGAATACTTGGCAGGAATAATCAATAGTAGGCAATCCTAATTTTTGACCACTTCAGAATAAAGGAGTTTAAATTTTTCACAATACACCATCTGAAACAGTGCAGCATTGGGTATCAAATAATAACTGTGAACGAAGCTAGTGCATGCCTGTAACTCACTATTTATGTATCAGAGCATTTCTGGAGTTTTAAGAGGGCAGATGTTTCCCCCCCCCATATATTTCACTGTCATCAGCGGTTCACACAGTACGTAAGCCCAAGATGTTATATACAGGTAGTCTTCAACTTACAACCATCCATTTTAGTGCCTTTCAAAGTTACAGCATCACTGAAAAAATGACTTATGACCAGTTTTCATACCTACGATTATTCCAGCATTCTCATGGTCACATGATCAAAATTTGGATGCTTGGCAACTGGCATGCATGAATAATGATGGAGGTCCTGCAATCATCTTTTGTGACCTCTGACAAGCAACGTTAATAGGAAAGTCAGATTCACATAACAACATTGTTATTAACTGCAGTAATTCACTTAACAGCTTTGGCAAGAAAAGGTCATAAATAGAGCAAAACTCACTTAAACTCACATGGCTTAGCAATAAAAATTTTTGGACTCCATTGCATTTGTAAGGAGACATTACAAGACATTGTGCATCAAAACTTTCATGCTGTTTTTAGGAGCAGCTCCCACTGTTGGAGACAGAAACAACTTTCTAAAATGGACTAAACTTTCCTTTTGGCATCAGAAAATAGTTTAGCAGTATCAACCAAGCTCAGACTGCAAGGCTAATATTACAGCTCCGATCCTGTATTGCTAAATTCCCTTTCCATGTCTTTAGATTATCTTTAAATAAACCTTATGAATGAATGCATTGTTGTTTAGTAGCTGTTTGAAATGCCGTTGCTAAAAGAGAAAAAGAATCTGAGCCAAATTGTTTGGATGTGAAGAGGTGGGGGAAAAGGAATAAAATATCAGTCATTGCCTGGTGGTTATCAATGTATAGTCCTTAACTCTAACTACAATATGTTAGTTGTCTTATTAAATAAATGTTTTGCTTCTCTTATTCTCAGCCACTCAACATTGCATACAGCCACATTTATAGCTCTTACCGAAACTTTGTGGGACCCCCCCACTTCAAGACAATCTGCCGACTCCTTGGATACCAAGGGATTGCTGTTGTGATGGAAGAATTGTTGAAGATTGTCAAAAGCCTGGTAATGGGGATAAATAAACCCCCTGGTTTCCTCTTCCTTCTCCTTCCCTTCCTCCTTCTCTTCCTCCTCCTAAGGTTCCTTGTGGTTCCCCAAAATCTGCTCCAGAAACTTGACTGGTGTTCTGGCAAAGATTTGAGGGGAACCGCAAGTAGATTTGGGGAGGAGAAAATGAAAACTCATGTTGTGTGAATAGAAGTTGATTCAAGTGTCATTGAATATAGCCTCAAGATTTTAAGGCCCAAGGTTGCAAACTTCTGCTATAATTCTGTAATTATTCTGAGAGATCTCACAATATGGTAAGCCTGTGTTCAGAAACCTGTATATCAAATTTATCAGGTCAGCACACATAATTTCCCCATCATTAAGATATAGTGATTTCTTTGTAGCAAAAGGAAAAAAAGAAAAAAAAACTTTTTGCACTGAAATATAACAATATAATAAGGCTGCTTGGGTTTTTTAAGTAGGGTTAGTGTTAGTGTCAACTTTTAAAATTGTTTTCTTATTTTTCTTATTCTATTTTTCTTACTCTTACTATTTTTATTTCCCTAAACAGAATGCATCAGTCCCACCCACTCCTCTCCTAGCAGGCATTCATTTTTTAAAAAATAGATTTTGGGTTGCAAACATTTGTGATAGGAATAGGGATTCGTTTTCAAAGAAAAATATTTTTAAACAGCTATTTGGATATATTTAATATATTGTAGCCCACTTAAAAGTGATCTCTGTTATGGGTCTGAATATAAATACTCTGAAACAGTTCACAACAAGAATATAGTACTTGTTTGGATCCCAGTTCAAAAACACAATAAGGAGCTTCCAGAGACCAGAAAACTGCACATCCAGTTGCCAATTTCGATTATCTGTTTTTAGTTGGCAAATGTTTCCCTTTGGGTTTTGGAACTTCTGAAGCCTCAGCTTCTTCCTACAAACTTTTGAACTCAGAAGAAGTATCTGGCATTGCTACATCTGTTTACTTTTGTTTAATAAGCCATTATACTTGAGGCTTCCTTCTTCTCTGAACTGGATCAAGATTACAGGCAACTACATAAATTGGCTGAAGAGAGCCAAGATTTGCAGCTGCAGGCCACTTTATAAAACTGAAGCTGCTTTGAATGTTGAGTCTACTTCCCAGAGCTGACATTCATCTCCAATTGCTTCTGATAGTTGCAAGGAACCATCCTTCAGTATGTGAAGACCTTGATAGAGGTGATGCCGAAGATTTGCCGCCTGCCAAGGCATGAGTATGGATCTCCAGGTCAGTACTGTGAAATTAGTAAATCTGGAGAAATTTCCTGACAGAACAATTAATCGGTGGAATGGCTTGCGTCCAGAAGTTGTGGTGCTTCAACACTGGAGGTTTTTAATAAGAGATTGGACAACCATTTGTCTGAAATGGTATTGGGTTTCTGCTTAAGCAGGGGATTGGACTAGAACTGGGGTAGGCAACCTCAGCTCTTTTATGACTCATGGACTTCAACTCCCAGAATTCCTAAGTCAGCATAGTCTGGGAGTTGATGTCCATGAGTCATAAAAGAGCCGAGGTTGCCTACCCCTGGACTAGAAGATCCCCAAAGTCCCTTCCAACTCTGTTATTCTGTTAATTCTTATTTGTTTATCACTTTTGGGTATTCCTGTTCTTTGTCTAAAATCATCAGCATAACTTATTTTGAATTATACTATTTTAAAGTTTTCATTGTACTACCCATTTCATTTTATCTACTGTACATGTCTGCAGCAATTTTCTCTGGTCTCAATTTGTGCTTTAGACATGAAGAAATATATTCTAAAACTTAACATTCCAGGTTTAATTTAGCAACTCACTGAGAATTGTAAAAAACAACCTAGTTACTGTGTAAGAATCACTGTAGAAACGTAGAGTTGAGCCCAGTGCAAGAATCCAAATTAAGGCATCCCAGATATGCCAATAACTTATCTGGGCTGTTATTTCCACTGACAAACTTCCTATCAGGATTTTTTTCTAACATTAAATCAAATTCAGTTTTTGTGTAAATTAAACTACTATGCTTCCTGAACAACAGAATGACATTTTTAAAATTCTGCAATATGTCATCCTTTCAAATATTTGAAGAGTGCTGTAATACCGTGTTTCCCTGAAAATAAGACCCGGTCTTATTTTTTTCCCCTCCAAAAGAGGCACCAGGTCTTATTTTGGGGGGGGGGTATCTTTTCCATGGTCTCACCTTGCAGCAGCACCAACAGCCCCGCCCAGCCGGCCCACTTCTTCTGCGGCCGATTGCTGCCGCTTCCATATTCATTTCAGGAAAAGCCTCTGCAGCCGAGAACCAAACTCTGGATTGATGCATGTGGTGCCCCCTTCCTGGTGCACATCAATCTGGAGCTCAATTCTCAGCTGCAGAGGCCTTTCCTGAAGGCCTGTGACAGCAAAATGGAGGCTGGGGGCAATGTGCATGAGCAGCAGCAAGTGGCCACAGAAGAAATGGGCCAATGAGGCGAGGCAGCTGATGGAGCATGGGAGGCCTGGCTGCAATGATAAGCAGGTGTGGGGTGTGTGGGGTAGCTCCACCCCTCCCCAGCTTGATTTTTAGGCATGAGCCTCACCCCAAAACTAGGGCTTATTTTGGGGGTGGGTTTTATATTAGGTCCATCCCCCAAAATCAAGCTATTTTCGGGGTATGTCTTATTTTTGAGGAAACACAGTAGTTTATCCACTCCAATTCTTTGTCAAGGTTAAATTTTCACAGTTCCTACAGTTTCTTCTCTTAGGACTTAGTTTCCAGTCCCCCGATTATCTTCTATGTCCTACTGTAAACCCATTCCAGTTATTCTGAATCCTTAAAATATGATTCTTAGAATGGGGTACAATATTTAAAATGGAATCCAATCAAAGCAGAAGAAAGTGGAACAGTTACTTTCCATGATTTGGAAAATATTTTTTTTTCTTTTGATGTGGTGTAAAAATTGCCTTTGCTTTTTTTACAGCTGTTTGCAATCAGTTGCTATTACAAGATCTTTTTTACAAATACTGTTACCAAGCTAAGAATCCCCATCCTGTATTTATGCACTGGTTTCTTAGTGAAGAGTTTTCTACTTGTCTTTGTTAAATGTATTTATTTTACTTACCCACATTGTTTTAATTTTATTACCCATTAACAAAATCTGAGGCCCCATTTCTTCCCAGTTACATCTGCCCATTGCATTTGATATGCTTCAGAGAGAGCATGATTCAGATCCTTCTGCTAGGAACTTAGGCCTGGCAGGTCCTATGAGGTGGGCCTGGATAAGCCCCCAGGTGGCCTCAATGGCTCCCTGAGAGCTAATGACCACCCTTCAGAGTGCTAACAAGCAGGTGACTGCAAAAAATATAAATCTTTTCATTCCCCACCATTCAGTTAGAACTGAAGAAGCTTCTTGGATGAGAAATGAAACGTTTTCAAGAAAAAACTAAGAAAGCCCAGTTGCCTTTTGAAAAAACACCTTTGGGTCAGCTACTTTGTAGTTCTATTTATATCTTGCTTTTCCCCAGGAATCCTGGAGTTTTTCCATCACCAGCTGAAGGACATAATTGAATATGCAGAACTAAAGACTGATGTATTCCAAAGTCTGAGGGAAGTGGGTAATGCCATTCTTTTCTGCCTTCTCATAGAACAGGCCTTGGTGAGTTAAAATGAATTATTTGGGAAAATAATTGGGCTTAAATCATTGTACGTGAAACAAAGGAAGAAACAAATAAGTCTGTATTCAATTAGATGTCAGTATAGAACTTCTTAGTTCAGGAACTCCTATATTCCCAGTCCTGCACAGTGGCCTTCTTCAATCTGGATGCCATCCAGATATGTGGATGTCAAACCCCAGAATTTACAATAGCAATGGCCATGCTCCTTGGGATATTCAGTGAGCTGAAGCCCACACAGCCAGAAAGGTCCCGGATTGAAAAGGATGCTGCAGCTTGCTATTACTTGTCACAGTTCTCTTCAGCGGCTTGCTAAAAGTCTGGCAGAATGAAGTACAGAGACAAACACAAAAGCAGAAGTGCTTGTCCATATTAATGCATTCTGAGTGCCTAAAGACAATTCCGATGAGCTGATTTTATTTACTTACTTGCTTTTCCATTTCTTATTGCAAAAAAACCCACAGTTGCCTTCAGGCTTCATTGCAGATTGTGATCAACTGCATCTCTAACCATCCACAATAGTATCAAAACAATAACATGTGCACCTTGATAACATGATGTTTGTGCTTCATTTTTGAAATGTGCAGTGAGCCCTTACCTATCTGTCCCACCTGAGGTGTAGCAGTGATGGTTGTAGTGCATCTTGTTAATTTTGCATAAAATTGCTCTTAATATCTGTAAAGACAACTTGACTCATCAAGTTAGCACCCAATATTGCTTCTCACATACCTGGGATAGCATCCAACTCCAAATGAAAAAAAACTGATGTATATTCTGTCAGAATATATATCTTAATAACCAATGAAGGAATGTGCTATATAGCTTAGGGATGTTCTGAGTTGTAGTTCGGCAAGTTCTGGAGTGCCACAGGTTGCTTACTCTGTACCAGTTTATAACTCTCTGATATTTCCCATTAAGATGAAAAACATATTTACCAATTTTAAAGATATGATTTCAAGAAGTCATGCCTATTCTTCTTGTTGCTGGGACAATCCTTCTAATTTGCATAGCATTAAAACTGTACTTGAAAGCTCACAATAGGTTCTCCCTTTTATTGGACATGTTGTTTTTTGAATTGCTTAATAATAGCACATTGTTTATTGTGACAATACTATAGTGCCAATAATTTGCAGATTGTCAAAGGTGGAATGGAGGTAAGCATTCTGAATCATATGCCAAGAACCATCCTCTGGTCTGGAAGAAAGAAACCCTATTTCTTGTATCCATAACTAAATTATCTAATTTCCCTGACAATTTTCAGTTCTTAAATGAAGAAGGTGGCATTTAAAATAATTTCTTTGGGTTTTTTTATGATCACAAAGATAAGCACCCTGCATGCAGAATGTATTTCACTGAGTGCATTGTATCACTTATGAATGTTTCCTCATTGAGGCCCTGCTGATGACAGGGTGCTGCATCAAGCAGCTAAAACCTTCCGTGTTGGACTTCCAAAGAATGAAGTTGAACATCCCAGTTCTGATGTGGCCTTTTTTATAAAATAGGAAACAGTGATATCTAATTATATGATGCATTACTTACCATAAAATATTGCAGTAAAATTTAAGGCAACAACTCCTTAAGACTCCTCTACAAAAAATGTACAGAAAATTACATTCTGTAAGTCACTGAGGCTTGAATAAGGGACCAATGCTCATGTTTTGGTCTATATAAAGTGTGGCTGGGAATTGGAGAATTTATCACAACGTTCCAAATGCGTCTTTACACAAGGGTGTATCAAAACCACCTCCTTTTGCAGTGTCTTGCTTCTTGCATGCAGCTATCATGGCTTACTTTGTTGCTATACCGCCATGTAGAGTCATGCAGAATTTGCTGCAATCATTACTCAAGTCTCTGCCAACATTCCTGCTTCCGAGGTCTTGCCTCTTTGTGTGTCTGCAGTTTAGATTAACTCTGGATCTCTGTATGTGTTTTTAAATTTCTTCTCATTTTGTGGTTCCTCTCTCAGCCTCTTCCAGCTCAGTTCTAAGTATGGCTATTTGGAAATAAGTTTGACCTGAAATCAGTGGGGCTTTATTCCCAGGAAAATAGACAACTTACATCACAGAGTCACTTTTTAGAGTGGTCCATGCCAGGAAACGTGCAGCGAATTAATGAAACTTAGGTTTGAATATATATAGATGGATAGCACAACTGTATTATCCACTGTATACTTAGAGCCTGAAGGCCAATCAAGATCTCCCATGTTTTTAAAAGTAAGAGCAGTTCCTAAAGATTTGAATCTGGCCTATGTCTGTATGAGCAGGAGGTTGATCCTTCCTCTGCCATCCTGTATTTTTGCCCATTTGACATGTAGGGAACAGATAAGTCTTCCTTCCCTGTAAGTACAGTCTTGAACCAAATGTCACGCAGCTCTTGTGGCTGCTTTCAGATGAAAAACACAGCAACAACAAAGAAGCCCAACATAGAAGATCTTATGTTGAATCAACTTTGACACCCAGTCTGGTTCATATTCTTCTTCCTGTAGTTTGGATCTCTTATTTACTACCATTTGATTCCAAATGAAGTTGATTAAAAAAAGAAGACACCTCAGGAAGTCAGACTCTGTTGAGTGATGCCAAGGAGTCATTTTATGAGTATATCAGAGTGGGCAGTACCAGAATTCTCAGACCCTCTTTTTTATATTTTTAGGCATTTTCCTGTAATCACAGGACCCATAGGCTGCTAACAACTTGATTAGAAGTTACAAAATGATTTGCAACATTATTCCAAATACTCTGTGCCCAGATGTTAGATCAGCCTTTCTAACCTCCAAACTCAGACTGTACGTCTATCAGACCGATCATTGTCCCACTGCCATCAGTGGCCAAGGAAGGCTCTGTGAAAAAGTTACCTTGCTACTTTCCATTCCGGGTTTTTTTCAGTTTACCAAATGTTGAATCTTTGTTGATGCACACTTATAATTAACATAGCCAAAAATGACCAGATATTCATTTTTTTTCTTTAAAAGGCAAATTAACAACCCTACTATATAAATTTAATTTATAATATTATCATACTACTTTTCAAGGTAAAGCCTTGTCAAAATAGGTTACAGTATAATGTAAGCACATTTCCTCATAAACCTAGGTTTCGGCTTATTGCTTGAACATAGTGGCTTAAATGCAACTACTTTCTGTCCCATGATGTAATACACTGTGACTTACACACTGTAAGTTTTTGTAATGGGGATGCTCAGTACCAGGTACAGATGTTCAATCATAATTAAAGTCATGGCCTAGTAGAAAACCTGAAAGTCTGGTACATTCTGGAGTTTTTTCTGTTAGTGCAAGACATACTACATGTTTTGTCACTGAAACAGGATGAAATTTTCAGGGTGTCTTTATAGTTCATATTTAAACAAATCACTCAGAGAATTCTTAAGACTGATTTTAAAAAAGCAATTGTGAGTGGACAAATCAATTAAATATGTCTGTGAGCAACTTATATGTGAATACACCTATGTGGAATAATGTAACCACCTCAAGATACATCCAACACATACCCTCATGGCCCTTGGCAGTGCCTGACAACTTTAGATTACACAAAGGAGGAGGAGCCTGGTTAATTATCGGCAGCCCTTATTACAGTTTTATGGAGAGTACATCATTCAGCAGCAGGGATCAAGAAATCCTATCGCTGAATCAGAAGTAACAAAGCAGAAGCTACAATTTTTAAAACAAGATTATCTTTATTATAAACTTACTTTTGACACAAGTTATGTGTCTGTTGTCCTGGATATTGAACTAGAATTAAATAGTCTTCTGATCACTATGCCCTTCCCAGTTTGGTTGACAGCTAAACAGTCAATTCTTAGGTAGTTTTTAACACCTTTTATTTTTCTTCCTCCTGCCTCAGTCCCAGGAAGAAGTGTGTGATTTGCTGCATGCTGCTCCTTTCCAAAATATTTTGCCCAGGGTCTACATCAAAGGTAAGGAGTGGAGAGATGCACAGATATCAGTCATTATTCCCTAGCTGGGTAGTACTACGAAGTTACACATACTTCAGCTTTCAAAAAATCTTAGATGTAGTTAGCTGTTCATTGCCTTCATTGGACTAGGGGTCCTACTGGCCAATCCACAAGAAAGGGCACCCTGTAAGCAAAGCAAGATGTTTGTGTTAAAAACAAGACCCTCTTACAAGTGTATTTGGTGTCAATTATAAGTAGAGACCCTTCTTCACAATTCATTTCCACAATTTTATGTCATACTTGTCCCAGAGTTGGATAATGGTTGGGAGATGACTCTGAAATGCTAGTTTTTTTTTTCTTTTTGCTTTCTCATTTCACTGTTTGCTGCTCGCTTAACAGAAGGAGAACGCTTGGAGGTACGCATGAAGCGTCTCGAAGCCAAATATGCCCCACTTCACCTGGTTCCCTTAATAGAGAGGCTGGGAACTCCTCAGGTAAGGATGACATTGAAACCCATATTGACTGGGTCCCACAATACGTCACCCAGCCCTGATTCTCTCTCCCCCATCCCCCATCCCTTGATGCCCTGGATCTCAGGAAGCCTTTCTGGTTTTGTTGCCTGGATTTCAACTGTACATCCCAGAATATCTGTAGAAATATCACTTGTGACCGAACAAAATTAGTGAAATTCAATGTGGTTCTTATGTAGTTGTGTCTCCCATAATCACCATCTGCCTCAGAGACAATCAGTTTGTCATTATTGGCCTGAATCGGAATTATTTGTTGTTGGTTTTTGTTGTTGTTCACATGAATGTCAGACAAGGCATTTCTTGTTTCTGTAGGTGGACCCTGAAGTTTCAAAGTAGTCATGGACTCCTACTTTATCCTACACCATCCCCGGCTCCAATTTTTTTCAGAGAGAAATCCTATATAACCAGACCTGCTTAGTGCAGATCACAGGGTTCATATGCATCTATATTACCATGGAGTATAAATCCTAGATTTTTCTATCTGATCTTTTTGAACTAACAGACTGTTACAGACTGTTGCCCCTTCTTGACCCAAGCTTCAGTGTTGGAGATAGAATGTCTCTGTAATAAAAAATGGAGATAGCCATGTTCTGCCTTGTGAGCTTCAGCACTGAGATGAGTGAACATAGCATTTCAGAAGATTTGGTACTACTCAAACCCAAGTAGACTTTTCAATTTGCCTTCTCATCTCCTGCTCTCATCTCCTTCCTTTTTGCAGCCAAAGAGAGACATGACAGTTCATGTTTTACCACTTATTGTCATTACAAATGTAACTTTAAGCATTCTACAAATTTTATTAGATTGTTTAAGTATGTGTTTAATGAAACTTTTAAACCACTGTCATTGGTCCATATGTACCTCAAAACATAGCCATTGAATCCTGTTTGAGGCTAAATCCTCATCCCAACTATCAGGAGAAGGAAAAGGTGAAGAGGGGGACGTGCTTCTATATCAAGACATTTTCTTAGTGTACCATTCACAAGAATCTGCAATCAATCCTGGCATTCTGATGACAACACTTTTTGACATTTGATTACTTGTCTCCCTTTCAAGCACACATACACAGGCATACAGGGCCATTCTACATTTTTGAATACATATTTAAAATTGCCAGTCTGGACTGGTTGCAATTCCAGAAATGTTGGGTTTTCTCCCTGCTTTTATATTCTGTGTCTTGGCTCACTTGCATGAGTTATTTAATCTTTGTGCTTGGCACAGCCCTTTTTTTGCTACACACCTGCTCTTTGCTTGTTGTTCTTTTAATAGAGGACTTGGTCTTAAAGCTACCAGCTATACTAGTTTTTTTTTTCCTTTTATGATTACCACCTTTAAAACCACTGAGATGTTGACACTTAATTTAAAAAAGACACAATACCAGTATGGTATAGGCTATGTGTCTGTCTTATGACCCCCAGTATTCCAATGTTTGTTCTGGATCACAAAATTTAAATATAAATTCATTTCATGGGCTCATTTTGAACTGATCCTTGTGGAGGACTAAATGAAGCAATACACGGAAGTTTTGTTTGCCTGTTCCAGCCTAACCCCCTCCAAATGTGTGAAGACAGCAACTCATAATCCTCAGATATCATGCTGGTAGTTGCTGTTCCTACAAGATGGAGGAGGACAGCCTGTGCTTGGGGGCTTCTCTGTATGTAGTGCTTTGCTCTTTGTCTGACATCCATATAACCAAGTATTAGTTGATCAGTTGTCTCAGAACAGCAGTCCAGATAAAATGAATGACTTCCATTGCTCCTGTTGATTTCACTGACAGATTTGTAAGCCTGTATTAACTGCAGTCTGTGGCACACAAGAACATTTAATTAAACATTTAATTAAACATTTAATTCAACCTAAATGTGACATGGTAGGAAATCCAAAATTAGGATCTCTTCTAAAAAAAATTAAAAACTTCATCAGAGTCTCATATCAAGTGAGGTAACTTGCTCTACCTTTGAACCCTTTTTAAAATCCTCATATCTAATCTGAAGCTCCATGAACTGCTAACAGTTAACAGCAACAAACCCTACAGCAGATTCCAATTAGAAATATTCCTCATCCAATTATCATCCCTGATTTTACACTACACCTTAAAGATATAATTTGTTCAGTCTTCTTATACGTTCTATGGATGTACAGATTGCTCCTGGTGATTTAAATTCAGCTGAATCAGTTCATATTGATTAATACTGTAAAAACACAAAAGTTCATGGCTGAAGTTAAATCTTTTTGGATACCTCTAATACAATTATTCAAATTGGATCAGCTATTCTATTTGGAAAATCAAGTGAAATCATAAATTCTACTGATTGAATGTTGGAATTTAATATTTGATAATTTCCTGATATACCTTACTCATTTTTCAAATAACTCAGGGTTACTAAAACTGCTGGAACTTGTCCAGGCAGTTGACAGAAGTCAAAAACGGACTTGAAAGTGCATGTGCACATACATAGACACCTCTATTCACTAGTCAGAATCTTAATATATTATCAGATACTCCCAAATCAATTACCACTGAAATGTTTCCATCTTAGTATACATAGTAGGAATATTTTGAGACATTGAATAACCCAACATTAAAACATAATAGAATATTGTGCAATCTGTTGTTTTTATCTGAATATCATTTTATGGCCAAACAGTTTGAACAAACTAATACAGTTTGACTCAAGTTGTGCTGACTTTCAGTGTTAGGTGATAGATATATCTGTAATATTTTCTTAAAGAACTAAGTCATTGTACATTTTTTCCTTTCAGGCCATTATCTATCCTTCATTACAATCAGTTCACATATATATCTATCCCAGTAATTCTCACCACCAAACAAACCCAGTTAGAAAGATCAGGTAGAATTGATTTCTATGGGAAGTTCCCACTTCACAAATACATACTGCACTGTCAGCTGTCTCACATCCAGCATTAAAGTGGTACTTTTAGAGATGATAAAAATATAAACCAGTACAGAGGGAGATGTGTTGTCGGTGATCTCAGCTGATTGTTCCTAACACAGCAAAGCCTTCTTGTTCTTGGATTGTTTGCTTCTGAGTTACACAGATAATAATGTCTGTGGGGAAGCTATCCATATTTCCATGGGATCCCACTGAGTTTTTCACCACCCAGCTTCTTCTATTCCTAGATTAATATCTCCATTTGAGTTGTGTCACATCATACTCTTCCTCTGAAGTGCAAATAGGCATTCCTTAATATTCAAGCATACTGTATGCCCAATTGAGAACCATGTGTATCTCAGCATTTTTTTATGGAAAACCCCAGAGGAATAGGGGATGAAACAATGTAGTTCTAACGGATATGTCATATTAGTCTCAAGAAAACAATAACATATTTTTCTTTAATTGTATTGTTAATTTTAGAAAGGTCCCAGATATAGAATATATACATTTTACATACCATAATTTGATTTGCACCTCTTTGCATTTTCTCTAAAGTTAATTTTTTCCCATCAGAATGATCTTATAACTCTATTTATTTATTTATTTATTTTATACACCACACCATCGAAAGCGACTCAGTAGATTAGATAATAACAGTAGAACATCTAATCTCAGATTTGCTACATGAAACAAATATGGCCTTAGGTTTTGCTAATCACTCTTTGGAACTATTGAGAAACATTGTGTTGCTATTGATATTAAATGAATATAATCTGCATTAAAATTATTAGAAAAGACTTGGAGCAGAAAAGAAGAGACTGAAATAGTCACGTCAGTATAATTCCCACTGAGTTTAGTGGGAAATTTCCTGAGAGGAAATCAGTGTAAGATTTCAATATAAGAATCTTCAACCTGCAAAACAAGTAGCAGAAATATAGACTGGGAATTATTTTCAGGGTTTCCCAATATGGACTGATTTGCATATATTGATTTACTCCTTGGTAAAGTGCATCTATATTTATAGTTTTCTATACAATCTTTTAGCTTTCAATGCCTAATGGTTTACAAATGGATTGACCCATTACTATCGATACATATACTAGATGTTTTACTTTAGATTTCAACTAGAAGTAATAGGAGTTTTTTTGAACATAAAAGATAAACAGTACTGAAGTAACTCAACATGTATTAATGAAGGTGCCTTAGCATTTTTGTGAAGCAAATAGATAAAGTCCATCCAGCTGTGCTCTCTTGTGGTCACAACTGCATTATCAAAGGACTGAAATGCCCTAGCTGTGTGATGGCTGAAATACCTATAGTGGTTCACTTTGCTAATCCATTTCATTCTGCCATCCTGCCTCTCATTTCTATTGCTGCATATCTGTATTTTCATTGTGCTGCTCTTTCAAATGAAAGTGTAGAAAATTGACAACTGTCATTCTCCAGGCAATAGTACCTGTGTTTCCCCAAAAGTAAGGCCTACCCCAGTGGTGGGATTTAAATATGTGAACAACTGGTTCTCTGTGTGGATGCCGCTTCTGGAAGTCCATTGTGGGCCTGGGCAACACAAAATTAGCTACTGGTTCTGCTGAAGTGCTGCAAACTGACTGAATCCCACCACTGGCCTACCCCAAAAATAAGCCCTAGCTTGATTTTTTTGGGGTGGTGGATCTAATATAAGCCTTACCCCAAAAATAAGCTCTAGTTTGGAGGCGAGGCAAACACCTAAAAATCAAGCTGGGGTGGGGGTGTGGATCTGCCCCACCTGCCCCGCACCCACTTACCTTGCAACCAGGCCTCTCCTCCTTGGTCCACTTCTTCTGAGGCGTCTTCTGCAGCCAGGCCTGCATTTCTCAGTCACAGGCCTTTCCAGAAGGCCTGTGCAGCCAAGAACTGAGCTATGGATTCAATCCATAGCTCAGATCTGCAAGACCTCTGCAGCCAAAGACCAAGCTATGGATGAATCTATAGCTCAGTACTTGGCTACAGTGGCCTTCCGACTGCAAAATACAGACCGGAATGCAGCTGCAGACTGAAGCTGCTCCTTCGGCCCCAGAAGAAGTGGACCTGCTGGGCAACGCTGTGGGTGCTGGAGGTGAGTAAGACATCCCCCCAAAATAAGACCTGGTGCCTCTTTTAGAGGCAAAAAATATAAATAAATAAGACGCGGTCTTATTTTCGGGAAAACACGGTATATATAGCCCTCATTCATTTCTGCATGCAAATTATTTACACTTTTTAGAGTTCCAAAAATGTTGAATTATTGATATTGTAAAAAATTATTTTTTACTATATTTTACCACCGCTTCTGAATTCTACAAAATTGGGTGGAAGAAGAATTTTTTTTCTATAAAATTGATTTTTCAGATTAAAGCAGAGAAAAATAATTGTTCTTCTTATATTATCTCAAAAATGCTTATTCTCTTGTCATCATGACTAAAATACACAATGAAAAATTATCAGAATAGTGACATTTTTTCCTAGGCTCTTTTTATTATCTGCCCCATTTTAAGTTTTACATGAATTTTGCATTATAGATAATCAATATTAAATTTAAACATGTAATCAGATATGTAAGATCATCCTAAAGAGGAAATGCAAATTCACATAGGCATGCAGATCTAGATTAATAATGTATAATAAGCAGATACTGCTAATATTTTTAATAAATGCACATCTAAAATACATGCTCTTATGCAAATTATACTTCATAGAAGTTAAATATTCACTACAGTAAGAAAACATTATTGCAAACATAAATTTCAATTCAATTTGCAGGAATAATACCCTGTGCAGAAAATTATTTTTTTGAAAATATCCTAATAGAGAAGCAAATTTTGGCTCTTTCCAAAATGTCATTTCATTTGAAAAATACCAGTAAAGTAATAAATATTTGGGTAAAATATACAAAGATGTATTAGAAAGCAATTTCCTTAAACTAAACAGCAAATCAGCTCACTGTTCTCAGGCAAAATTTACTAGATTTTAATTCAATTTAAGCAGACTAAGCCCTTTCTTAAACAGGGTTAAGAACAGGTTCCAAACTTTATCCAGGTGGGGAGATCAATCTGGGAATTCTGGGAGAAATTGGTATCTCATAATAGAACTTTCCTTCCTCATCAGCAAATAGCCATAGCCCGTGAAGGAGACTTGCTGACTAAGGAGAGGTTGTGCTGTGGGCTGTCCATGTTTGAAGTTATCCTGACCCGCATTCGGAGCTACCTCCAAGACCCCATCTGGCGTGGGCCTCCCCCAACCAATGGCGTCATGCACGTTGATGAATGTGTTGAATTTCACCGGCTCTGGAGCGCCATGCAATTTGTGTACTGCATTCCTGTTGGAACAAATGAATTCACTGCTGAGTGAGTAGGCCTGTGTTGAAGGCTATATCCATTCTGCAAAGAACTGAGATTTTATGACATGTAAATCTATGCTAGTGACTTGATTCCATATCTTTGAAGCTAGTCCTGAATGAAGGCCATCTGGCTGTCTTTTTGTTGTAGGAACTTCTCAGAATATATTATTTCTTCATAGAATCAAGCAAGATGATTTCCAAATCTTTCCATCATTTCCAAATAATGTCTTCCCTATTCCTTTTTATTCTAGACAGTGCTTTGGAGATGGCTTAAACTGGGCTGGCTGCTCAGTCATAGTTCTTCTGGGGCAACAGCGTCGTTTTGACCTTTTTGACTTCTGCTATCATCTCTTAAAAGTTCAGAGACAGGATGGGAAGGATGAAATCATAAAGAATGTGGTAAGTCTGAGAGGACTTGGATGCCATGTATAGGGTTTGTTCCACTAGCTGACTGCACACTCTATACATGGAGCATTGGTGGTTCCCCAGCGTTTAAATAGATTTTTTACATATCCCAGGTGGAAACTTGAAAATAGTTTGCTGTCAAACCTCAGAACTTTTGCATGCACTGAATGTGTTTCAGCGAGATGACTTTCTGGCCAGGAAGATCCAAATTTCTGGACCTTTTGACATTCTTTGTGCAAAGCATCTGCTTTACCACTGAGCCATGGATTTCTCCTGAAATTATCTTTTTTATTCTAAAAAGAGCAGACAATTGTCTACCAGATTAGCACATTTTTATTAGCAGATTTTGCATTTTTATGTAGGAGAATTATATAAAGGAACAGTAAATAGCTCTTCCCAACTGAACACGGTGATGTTTGATGTGGATACTTTGTATATTCATAAAATAAATTCAGGGTCTGCTGACCTTTATTAGCAAACAATTGTGTACTTTTGCCTCTATGGTAGTGAGGCAAGGAAAAAGAGGAAAAGAAGGCCTAAAGGAAGTCAATAATGTAACAAATATAGCTCCACTTGTACATACATTTAATAAAACTTTAAGCAAATGAGTTATCTTTTAGCTCCTTTGTGGAAGTATGTAAAGAGATGTTATATTTATGATGCCTTAGGAATAGGGGAGTTTGAAACATTTTTTTTCCATTTAGAGGTAGGAGAGAACTATTCTACTGTAAATATTTAACCGGTAGTCTTGTTGATTCTTTTGACAACAGGGTGGCTATAGAAATAGTAGAGATGGTGTTCATGTTTCCTTATTCCATTTTTGTTTTAATCTCCAGCCACTTAAGAAAATGGCTGACAGGATCAGGAAGTACCAAATTCTGAACAATGAGATTTTTGCCATCCTGAACAAATACATGAAATCGGTGGAAACAGACAGTTCAACAGTTGAGCATGTGCGCTGCTTCCAACCCCCCATCCATCAGTCCTTGGCGACAACATGTTAGGCTTTCAGCCTTGGAAATACAGTGTGAAGATTTGTGTCTTTCCATTGGATATTGGTGAGAAAGAAGTGGTTGGACTCCAGCTGTTGGAAGGCAAACAGCTGCAAACACAGGTCCCGCAGCAAAGCAGACATGGATGGATCCAGTACACAAAGATGCATTTCCTAGAAGACTCATTTGAATGCATGTTCTTCTATATCTTTCTGGCCGGCTTTACCTATAGTGCTGAAACTGTGGTGAGAAGAAGCAGAAAGTGGTTTCCTCCTAAAGTTTCTTTTATTTTCATGACAACCCATAATCATCTGATCAAGCACAAAAATCTGCAGTCTTTAAATGGTCATTATTTTTAAGATTCCAGTAAAGAAGCCCACATTTCAAAATGTTGCAAGTCTTGGTGCACACTAAACAATAGTTTTCCTTGATAACTTAGTTTTGTGGTATAAGCACTTAAACATTTTGAAATAGTGAGTTTCTCCCATTGCAGGTGATACAGAAAAAACATCCTATTGTTTTAGAATTGCATAGAATTGTCTACTTGGAATTAACAGGTTTTTGCTGTAATTGTTATCTTGCCTTCTAGATTTACTTTGCTAAACTAAATTTGGAATTAAGTTTACAGTGGAATATTAACAAATTTTCTCAGTTTTTGCATTGGCTGACCATGCTATGGAGAAGGGAAAACAAAGTGATGCTTTCTTTTCAATCTCCTTCTTGACATGAATACATTTGAGCTAATATTTGTTTCTTACTGTTAGAATGACAGACAGTCATTGTCTATGTGTGATAAACATTGTAATGGCCTCCAGTCCTTAGTGAAGTTAACAGCCCTCATCATTTTTGATGGTTGATTGAAATGGGGTTCGTATTTTGAGCTGAGCATCTTTTTCTCTTTGGAATGCTTTTAGTAGAAGAATGATATTGTTATATTTCTGTATTCCTGAAAAATGGTAATCTATTGTAATTCAAGATTATAGATACATATTTAGTAATTGAAAGGAAATGCTCTTAAGAATACAGTACATGCAACAAAATCTTTGTTCTAAACAAGAGCTTGCCTTCCTTTAATATGTATGGTTTCAATGACATATGAATTTCCAATACCTGATTTAAAAAATGAATAAGCTTATAGAATGAAGGGGAGGGATAATTTGAGAACACATATGTGCTCTTCTTCATAATAGACCTCTTACTTTCTTCATCCAGGAGATAAATCCATATAATCTGAATGAGAGGTACACACATAGTCAGGCTTTCCATAATAAATATGTATAGGAGAAGATACGCCTTAAAGAGACAAGATCAGGCAAGAATGATGAAAGAAACAGAACTATTAAGTTAGTCACAATTCTTCCTATCAGGTAAGAAGATCTTTGCGTTTCTAAATATCACAGTAAAATAGATTCTGAAGATAAAAGCTACCCATTTTAGCAAGTCTAATTACCCAAGCAGAACTAGTTTAATTATCAAAACCCAACCATGTAGCAGATCATGAAAGGAAAAGGAAGATCTCTTAAGACCTTAAGAGAATAATTCATTTCTGAGTTCTTTTGATATAGTCTGAGGGACTTGATAAAATTCATCAAGCAAATTCCCCTGTAATTCTCCAGGGCAAAAAGAGGAATTTTAGAATGAAGTTCTCTAACATTTCAGTTGTTCAGATTAATTTTCTATAAAGAAAATACAAGTTGCTCTATAGTTGTTCACAGTTTCAAAATTAAGGGTAAAAAATATTAAAGATCTGGATAGTTTTTCTTGTTTGTTGAGAACTACAAGGGTACCGTGCATTAAAAAGCTCCTTTATGTAAATGAATGACAGTATGCAAGACAATAATTGTCTTCTATTGATCTCATGGAGGTTCAGTCATTAGAACATCTTGGTAATTTGCTGCTGGGGCCACTTTAAGGTAATGATCTGTGAAATTCTTAAGAGAGGAGATGTTGGTAGAGGTCTTTACCTGTCTTTAGTCTGCAGAAAATAAAGACAGGCTTTTCCACTGTTGGATGTTTCCCAACAGTTCCTGCCTCTTTCATAACAATTGGCTTTTCACTTTATCTTGTTCAAGACTAGTTTTGCCAAATTTGCAACCCTCCAAAATTTTGGCCCCACCCCTGATGGGAAGATGCCAAAGAGGGGCAATCTAGCTAAGATTTTTTTCCCCCATCATTTAGATTTTAGAAATTTTCATCTATGCTTTTTCTTCTTTATCATAAATGCATATTTAATTACTTATTAAACCAGAATTACTAACTTTTTTTCTGTTTGATAAATATACAAAAAAAAATTAGCTTAATGTTCTCTATTTTCAATCTTGGAAGAACATTATGTCCTAAGCAACAGCAGCAGCCTAACATTATTAGTATTAAGTATGTGGCCTTTCTTAAATCCGTCCTTTCCACTGAAGATTTACATCTTTTCATTAAAAAAGTTGATGGAATATTGTTTCACATGTCATATCTGTTTCCTATATATAATTACTAAGGCAGCTATTCAAGTGGTGAGATATTTTTCAAGCAACAGAAAACCATGATATCAGCAACACTAAGCCCTCTATCCAAGAGCATCAAAGCAGATATTCAGATATACAGTTTGCTTATTTGTACAAAGGAGATATTCACCTAATCATACATAGTTTGCTTTTCACATGAACTCAAATCTTGCAATGCCAGATTCCAGGCTGAATTGAAGTCAACATGTGTGAAAACTTTGTGTGCAAATGTCTGATTTAGTGTAATATCTCAGGTGTGATGCTGAAGCTGGGGTTACCCTTAACATTCATTCAATGGGTTTGTGGTGGTTCAATAGGGGTCTCTTGTACTGATGGAAATATCAAATGCTCATAGAATTATGACTCTGGATACATAAAGCAATGGTGAACAAGAGTTCAGAGTAGGGAAACGTTCTACTCTTTTCAATCCTAAATTTCTCCTAGAATAGTTCAAGTGTTTTGTGGTTTTTATGGAAAGCAAGTACAATACTGCCAGCACTCCTTAACATCAGTATTTCTACCATAGTAAGCCTTGATTAACTTTAAAAAAAAAAACCACAGCAAACGTTAAAAACTAAACCAGACATGAACATATTCTTGTGATTGATTTTGAATTCACTTGACGAGATATGCAGGTGTTCTGCTCCTTGTTCTTTTTTTTTATTCTTCTTACAGCAGTCATTAATTATAATAGATACATAAAAATGCAGTTACCCATCAGAGCAGGATAATGTCACAGTTCTAAATTTTCCATTTATGTTCAAAACAAATTATCCTCCCAAAGTATCTGTTGTAGGATTGGTATGACATTTTATATCTTGTTTTCTGAAGAAGTGTCTAGAGAGCAGTAATTCTAATAAGCATTTTCAATCATGTAAAATAGGTTTGTTGGGTTCTGCTTTTATATTACTATTACAAAAGAATTCTCAATCATTCCCAGAAAAAAATCAATGCTGCTCGTGGGGAAATCCTAAATATTGTCTGTATGTCTCATCGCTGAGTGTTAGAGACCCTCAAAGTAAGTTAAGATATATTTCACTCAGGTTTTTGTTTAAATAATACTGTACAATATAGATCCATCTGCTAGAGACTATTTTTTCCTCTGAGATTTTGTTCTCTAAATGACTTGCCTCATGTTTGTATTGGGCTGTGTAGAATGCTATTTTAATTTCCCCTGCTGTCAGATACATTACAAAATTGTGAAATGTAAATCACTCATCCCAAACTATATGCTAAGATAGTACTCTGATGTTTATGAGGACACCATTTCTGTCTCAAAAAATAATAATAAAGATGGGGCAATGGAAAGCTATCTGTAACTTCACAAAGACTAACCCCATAGAGACATATAGCACAATTGTTTGCCTTGATGAAGTGTGAAGTCCACCTGTGTATAGAATTCATGCAAGGCATAGGAATGGAAATCTTGGTTGCAGATAATGCTTATTCCCACACATTTCAAAAGCATGTTGATGAAGTTTAAATGTGCACCTACTTTTTATACCAGGTGGTGTTTTCACTTATCAGATGTTGGGCTCATGTTAATCTAAGTACAAAACCATGTATTTCCTATTCTTATGATTGAGAAGGAAAAGATGATTTTTCAATAGGCAAATAACAGAAAAATTGGGATTGAAAGGCCCTAACTACCTCTTTTTCAATAATTTGCAACTTTCAAGTTTAATTTTCAACAACCACAAAAGTTTTGGTGCATTAAAACTATCCAACCACATACAACATATAGTTTGGTAAGTAGTAATTCTTCATGGGAATTAGCAATTTACAAAAATGTATTATAAGTCCTTTGAACTAAGAAAAGTCCAAACAGTGATTTCTTCAATACATTTTGATTCTCTGTAGCTCAGTTAGGTTGCTCTCATTTTGGTTTTGATGATTTCAGATAGAAAACAATTTGAAACAATTTGAAATGAAACATACACTTGAATTCTATTCCTTTCCCCAACAGCACTTGTCAGATATATCAGTGCCCATAGTAATTCCCCTGCTTTTCTGTATTACTCTGCATTTCATTAGTATTTGGACATTTGAGAACATAAACACAATCTTTTTTTAAAAGGAAAATATAAGGAAAATCTTTGTGTAATTCTTCCAAATGTATCCTGTTTGTATGAAAAATGTCTAAGTTTTTTTGTACAATGACTTTACATTTATTTATGGTGCAGTATATTTTCAGCAGTGATCAGCTATGGTGTTTGAATCATATTTACTAAGCAGCAGAAAATGGTATATATTGTTTTATATTTTTTGTTCTTTCATCATTGGTCAACAGAGGTTTTGTTGCTGTTCCAATGCTTCTCTAATAATAAGATACCTTGCGTGCAATGACATGATGATGACCTATATTGCAGTTTCAAATAATGTGTACAATAAAGTTGGGATGGATCTAATTAACAAGAGGGAGAAATTTGAAATAATAAATGTGTGAACACGAGGGTGAAAAAATGACTCCAGCACTTGATTTTGTCTGTGATATAGGATACAAGATGAATTTTCTTGAACTGGGCATTTCAGAATCACCTGATATTACAAATAAATATGGGTATTCCAGCTGCTGTGTCATATCTGCAACATTAAATTGCCACTCATAAACCGGTGATCTTGCAGAATAGCAAAAAGGGAAATGCAAACAGGAGCAATGGTAGGAAAGGGTCATAAATAGTTTTTCCTAATTTTCTACGAAACACTTCTGTGCCTCTTAGGCAAGTTTAAAGTCATGATCCAAACATTTTACATGGATGAGTAAAAGAGTAAAACCTGGATAATTGTTTCCAGGATGAAAGATGCTCACTGTTTAGGAAATAAAAGTTTTTATCATCAGTGTGGCAGAATGTAAAGGTATTTTTTTTAATTTAATCTACATCAGATTATTATTAGCATTGCTTTCAATGCATGCATTAATGTGTCATATTAAGGCAATTTACTAACAACCATTAGAAATGTTCTAGGGACAGTCTTGAAGGCTTTCGGTGGCCTTGTTCAGCATTAGGCTTCAAATTATACACCTTTGTAGTGTAAGTGAAATAACTGTACAGTTACTTTCTTTAATATGCACATAATGGGCTACTGATGATGAAGAAGAATTCTTCTGCTGACTGATATATTCTGTAAGTGTATGACTGGTAAATCAAGAAATTGAAAGTTGCATTTATTAATTCTTTATTTGTCCATTCAGACCATGAAAAAACCACACAGGAAGAAAATTGATTCATTCAAGCTGTGGTAGTGGAGACGGTTCCTGTGCACCCCTTGGACAGCAAAAGTGACAAACAAGCAAGAACTATTGTGTATAAAAACAAACATATTGCTGAAAGGCAAAATCACAAAATTCTATCTTACTTATTTAGGCCAAGTCATGTGATCAAACTCACTGGAAAAGGTAGTTCTGCTTAGAATGGTCATGGATAAAAAGTAATAAGGCTTCAAAAAATGAAATAAAATTAACCTTCACAGTGATTATATACCCTAAAAGCCAACACCAATCAAGTAAAATAAGTGAAAAAAGTCATAAGATTGGAAAATGTGGAGAGAGCTAATCCACAGAATTGCAGAAGATCAGGCATGATTGAATAGACAACATCTGCCTGTTGTATTGTTGCCTTTTCTTTAAAATACTCAGACATAAGCAGGAATTTCTTGAAGGCCCAAAATGCCCTTTACTTTGCTATACTTAGAAAAACTAAAATTGCAATTTATGATCAAGAAAGCATAAAGCTACTATCTAAAATCAAATCGTATTGCAAATTTTTCCCCAGCAACCATGGAAGAACAGCAAAGCAACACACTGTTAATAATATGCAATTCTGTGAAAAAGAATTTGCCCTCTCCCTCTATGGATTTCCTAAATGTGTATTTTTAACCGCTGAATGTTATCAAAGCTTTATGTTGGTCCTGTTGGCAACATAAATAGACAAATAAAACCCCCCCCCCGGATATTGTGCAGGTTTTATTTATTTCATAAAGTTATCCTATATGCAACTTTTTCCAAATTCTGTTTTACTTGTTCATTCACCTATAAATTAGTAGCTGAGATAAGATTACATTAACTGAGAAAGGTATATACATGCATTCAGGTATATACATGCATTCAGCAAATCTATACAGAGGCAAATGCTTTCTATGAACTGGCAGTATGTTTATTTAAGGGTAAGAAATTATTTGTCTTTCTACAAATTTAAAGAGTAACTCGGAGGGAAAAGGCCAAGCCTGGGGTGGGAATGCACTTCTGACAAAGTCAATGGGGAAAACAGATTCACTTAAAAACCGTGTTACTAACAAGTGAAGTGATTCACTTAACAACTGTGGAAAGGGAGGTCATAAAATGGGGCAACATTAATTTACAAATGTCTCACTTAGCAACAGAAATTTTGGGCTCAATTACAGTCATAAGGACTACGGTTGGATGCATATATACACATGGACACACATATATCCAGCACATAGGTGTATATACAGCACATTTTGTATGACACATACAAATTGAGATATCTTTTTGCTCCAGCATCAATCTCTAAATTATCTTTAAGCTAAGCGGCACAAACTGCACATTGCACATAATTAGTCTATGCAATTACAAAAGTGCATTTGACACTTGCTAGACCCGTTTTCCAAGAAGTAGTACAACCAGCATAAAATGGGCATTGTTCTAATACCTCTTTCACAAGGTTTTTTTAAAAAAAATACTTACTGTTAATTGGCTTTAATTCCAGAAAGTAGGAAGCAAGGAGGGTCAGAGACCAAGCCAGCTTAATTAGAGCAGTCTAAGAACCTGCCACTCTAGTTACATAGATTCAAAATTTTAACAGCTACTTATTATGCCTTAATATCTCAATGTTTATTTCATAACAGTAGTGCAATCTGGCCTCATGTTTATATTACTTTATGTAAATGCCTTTTACATCCTTTCAAGAAGCTAAAGACAATAATTAAATTTCATTGGACTTCAAAGAATTTTAAAACCAAAAGATCTTAAACGACTTAGTGTGACTACATGTATTTTCTTTTTCTCCTCATTGAACAATGCAGAACTGAAATCTTCTCTGAGATGGACTGACTTGGGCAGAGATGCTGGATACAGAAATAAGATGTTCTAATGTGTAGTAAAAAGGGTCAAAATGCAGAATAGAAAAGTCAGGAATTGGTTTTCAATGAAGTAAAAATGAAACTAGTATATTAAAAATCGGAAGGTGTCTGGTAGTGAGTCTGATGAATTGCAGATCACGAAAAATCATGCCTTTTAACAGAATTAGTTAGAAGAGATGCTACCTATAAAAAGTGGTTTTTAGGTTACTATAGGTTAACACAGCTCTCCTCCTACAGCGCCTATGCTATTACACAACACCACTTTGCATGTCTGATTGATGGATTACACCTATTTCTTTTGCTTAGGCATTCCCTTTGTAATCCAATTTAATCTTTTGAAATGATTCCCTTCCTGTTTTCACACATGTATTAATTCATTTTCATTCTCAGGTTTTAGCACTTGAAATGGCCATTCTATTGGTTATGTAATAATATTATTTTAGAAAGTTACACAGTTTTTGAATTTTACACAACATTGCTTTGAGCATTTGATGAGAAATTATACCTATTTCTTCTACATCAATTAAATTTCAGGTTTATTTTTGTATTTATTGAACAATTTCATATTCATAGCCATCAACCATAAGCAACTCTGGGTGATGAGAGGTATTATCAGCATCCCCAAATCATAAATACTGTATACGTGTGTGTGTGTGTGTGTGTGAATATGAATATAAGAAAACAAGATTATGAAATTAGTCTTCTTTAATATTCAGCACATGTATTTCACCTTTACGAGGCATTCTTACTTTGATGAATCTTTTGTTGGTGGCCCAGTCTGAAAGATCAGGAATTTCTTCTTCTCTAAATTATCATTTCTTCAACTGGCTCATTGCATTAATTTAATGAACACAAAGGCAATATTTGCTGAAATTCCAGATCAATGTCAGGAAGTGTAGTGCAGAAAATGTCAATCTGTATGAACTGAAGATATTAAACAGCAAGATTCATAAAAGTAAACAGAAGAAATACAGAGTGGACTTATTTGATCAAGGTTAAAACATACATGTTGTTTCTGGTAGCTCTTAATCAATTTTTCTTTACTAGGTTCAAGTGACAAGATTTCGAAAATTTGTTTAAAGATAAGTGATGGGAAGAAAATATTTTTTTGGAGGGGGGGTGTTGTTTGGAGACAGTGGTGTTACTGTTTTTAAAAGTAAATTAAAGGAATATACAACTGATTTAATTATGAGATATGGTGCAAAGAACCATGGAAAGATACATGCTTGGCTTTACAAGACAAGATAGAAAGACCTGCACATGGATTAGAGCAGAGGTCCCCAACCTTTTTGACACCAGAGACTAGTTTCATAGAATAATTTTTTCCATGGACCGGGGGGGGGGAGTTTCAGGATTATTCATTATATTTATTCTAAATTTTCTAAATAAACTAACAAATAATGGACTTTATTTCTATTATTATTACATTGTATTAGATTAGACCAGTGACTTTCTGCTTGTAAGAAAGTGGGAAGGAAAAGAGGCAATCCTAAACTCAGTGTTCTAGCAAAACAAAGCAAAAACCCAGCACCTTGAGGAAGTGCAGAGAAAACCATTCAAAGAGAGAGAGAGAATGAAAGAGAGAGAGGGAGGGAGGACACTGTGCAAGCCCAGCAGCCTTGGAAAAGGTGCTGATGAGAGACAGTGCTTAAGGAGAGATGTAGCTTCTCCCTTCTCCCCTCTCCCACTGCAAGCCAGGTAGGAGTGCGCTTGGCTTGCAAACCAAATTAAACACCAAATTAAACCACGAAAAACAGAGTAGAAGAATGGAAATGGAAATGGACTGGTCACATAGCAAGAAGAATTGATGGCAGATGGGCTAAGTCAGTCATAGAATGGATCCCACTTGATAAAAAGCATCCATGAAAGAGACCTAAAACAAGATAGAGCGACGACATCAGCAAATATTGCAGGCCCAAAGGAAATAGCTGGGAAAGCAGATAATAACAAGACCTGGCAATGGCTAAGAGCAGGAAAATTGAAGAAAGAGACCGAGGGACTAATTCTGGCTGCACAAGACCAAGCCTTAAGGACAAATGCATATAAAGTCAAAATTGAGAAGACAGCAATAGACAGTAAGTGCCGCCTATGCAAAGAAGCTGAAGAAACAGTGGACCACCTGGTAAGCTGTTGTAAGAAGATTGCACAGACTGACTACAAGCAGCGGCATGACAAAGTAGCAACAATGATGCATTGGAAAATCTGCAAAAAATATCATTTGCCTGTAAGCAAAAACTGGTGGGATCATAAAACAGAGAAAGTCATAGAAAATGATAAAATTAAACTGCTCTGGGACTTCAGAATTCAAACAGAAAAGCACCTGCAACATAACACCCCAGACTTAACAATTGTCGATAAGAAAG